TTTTTTTTTAGGTACACATATTACACCGTAGGCCTAACCCTCCTGGGTCCTTTAAAATCCTCTTGATGGCTCGGTAGGATTGAAAAGGATCGGAGAATGTACAACCAGCCGCAAATACCCTGTGTTGTTTAAGGAAGAAAGGTTCCCAGCAACAGGGCCTCAGAAGGAGGGACAGGTGCACGTGCTGTTACTTATGTACATGTACCATTAGCTTTTGAGATGAAATGATAGGATTTTTTCTGCAGTTATTAATGTACATTTGATTTGCCAAACAGATCAACCAAATGGTGAGAGGGTATTAAAAACATGATTAGAACCCTCAGCCTTCAGCTGCATAGATGATAACCGTCGTGGGCATGCTGAGTCACCATTTGCCTCGCAGGTTTCTTGAAATGACGTGACCCTCAACACGTGGGTGTCGTGTGTGTATGGGCGTACGTGATTGTTGTGGGGACATGCACACTCCTCTTTTCACTTATTTTGAGGTGACCGACTATTGCTTTTTGGGATAATATTTCCGAAGTTTCCGAAGCAAAGGGGAGCAGAAACAAATTGTCCCCTGTAACACAGGGAAGGCCTAGCACATGTACATGTATGGTGTATGTGAATTTTATCATGAAACAAATTGTAAAGGGAAACTGACTAGGTGGTTAAAGCAGGCCTACATGTACATGTACGGTGAATGAATCCATTTACGTGCACGGTGGGAGGTAGGATGCATCAAATTGTGACATCCCCTTTAATTCTTGCGAAAGTACATGTAGTTCAAGGCAAATTGAAATAGCAGCTCTTCTGTAGGCTGTTCATTGAGTGAAGTGTCACCAATATAACCTTTTTGTGGACAAAAGATTAATTTGTTAAAATGAGAGTGTTCAGATTTTGGGCAAATCTCATTTATGGGTTTCATTAAAAAGTTTTGCTTTCAGAACATGCACAGAAGCTCCCATTCATTTGACATTCAAATTATGTAGATAATTTACCAAAATTTGGTTTTCATTTATCCCGTACGCTTTTGGGAATTAGGTCAAGACTTGTCCAAATCAGCATAAACTAAGTCCGTCCTTATTAATAATGCAAGTGTCCAACAGCATCATGTTTGATTTTGTAGACCTAAACAACTTTTGGCACAGAACATCAATATTTTGGAGTTCAGTTCTCAATCTTCCTCCTTTATTAACTTAAGCCGTCAAAATACATGTTGCTGAGCAGGCAAACGCTTTGGAGCTGATTTATTTGATCTGTTGTAAATCCAAATCCTGAATATCATGTACATGTATGTACCATGTGTGCGCATTTATTTTATTCTGTATGCCTGACTGAATTTATAAAGGAGTTAGGCTGGATTTGTTCACAACCTTCATCACAGCTCTAGTTGCATGTGAAGTGTCATGTTAGCATTGGTTATTTAGGCAAAGAAAGACTTGCCCCTCAATGCTCTCTTTTGTCATTCAGCCATTTTCTGGGATGCTCACATGAGTGCAGATTTGCATAAATTCACCTGACATTTTAAAAGAGCATGTGTGAATAGAGGTCTTGGTGAAAGACCTGAATTTACAGCATTGTTGTGGTTATGTAACTCAGGGCTTCAGATTGGATATTGGGCTCAGTGTTAGAATGAGGACAGCTCAGGCTAATCCTTCCTGAAGGAGGAAGAGAGGGGAAAGTAAGGTAATTGGAGTTGGCTGAAAGGCAGGTGTCCCAAATAACACCTCAAGGATCAGTCCGGACGTGATCTGGCTTCACTGGTTCCCCGACCTGTTCAGTCTTGCTTGTATAGTAACACACCTGAAAGGGCTTCTGTAGGATTTACACGTACATTGCTTGCATACATACATGTACTTAATGTACATGTGTACACAGTCGTGCACGTACTGTGCTAGCATGGAGGTCTATTCCTTCCTCCATGGTGCTAGTAACCGTCCCAGGTTGAATTACTGTACATGTACAGTACGTATACTGTACATATTGTGCTGTACACGTACATGCTACATACAGTACATCATCATCATGCTTGGTAATAATACATGTATAACCATTGCCTGTGGGCTGCGGTACAGCGTCATTGACATCTGCACATGATTATCTGTTACACATTAACTTCTGCCATAGAAATATATTATACAGGTGCATATGTGTACACGTGTACTCGTACATTTAACATGATGTTTTAGTTGGTCATTTTAAGAGTTCATGCCCCAAACCCAAAGTAACCAAAAAAGGGATAATTTTAATTGAGATCGACATTGATCAAGGATGAGACTTTTAACTTCAAGCAAATGTGAACTCCCCATGTTCATGTTGTACATGTACATCCAAATTCTGGCCTACCGGTAGATCTTCATATAATGCTTTTTTTCTGTTCATTTTAAAATCAAGTTTCATATGAAATTTCTAATTTGCTTTCATTTGGTGAAAAGAATTTAGGAGTATTAAAAGACTGTCTGATATCCTTTCCACCTTCGAGTCCATGTGCTAGGACTTCACCTTTTAATATCCTTGTTCGTTGATGCCTACTTGCCTAGCTTTCAGAGTTCACAGGGCTCATTGAAATTGCAAGCTGAACAAATACATGTCTCCTGTCCAGTGTGGAGTGAATGCTGGACCCATCAGTCCACTCCACCTTCCAGGTTGGTCTCCCACTGAGCGGTACTGCCATTCAGGCCAATTTGTTTTTTAAAATGGAATCTGTTCATCCAAAAAAAGGCCTGCTTAATCTGCATTATGTGTGCTGTAAATGCGTCCCTTGCTGCGTTAGTGTAGAAAAATCAATTGTAAGCAGAGCTTTTCAACTTGAACTTACACCCGTACATGTACATGTAAAGGATGCTGGGAGTGCAGACCAATGGGTTGGCTGTATAGAACAGCTATGAAAGATGCTACCATAGAGTTACTAGTACATATACAGTAGCTCTGCGGTTCTACAGTGCGACTCGTAGCTAGATTTTGCCAATTAAAAGCTACCGGGCGGGGTACTTGTCAGATTTTTTTGTTACATTAGTGTGACTTGAGCCATGGAGAGGTAAAGGCTAGAAATGTTCTCTGTGGATTTAGTTCCAACTTGCCACATTTCCCTTAATCTCAAAAATCCTTCATTGCTGAAAAATGATGAAAAGTCATTGTTTTTTCAATAATTGTTGAGTGTGTTCCTACCGGTAACATACAAGAGTATCAAGCTTCATGCAAGTTTGCCGAGGCTCTACATGTGTCCCTTCCCTGATCCTACGAAATCTTCCCAAATCTGGCAAATTCTGAAGGATTGTGGAAGGTTAGGGCTAACTCTTTTTTCCCTGTTCGTGAACATGAATAATAGTGTTTTGAGTTTACAAAGAACTATCCAAAAAGGAAATCACCAAAGGAAATCACCAAAAGGTTTTGGCCCAGCCGTTTCTGCCTGTAAATAAAGATCCATGCATGTACAGTAGCCTGATAAAACATATAAAATGAATGTGACTTTGTAATTTGACATGTTTCATGCCAGGTTATCGCCCCAAAGGCATTTTCAAGGTGCATGTTTGAGTGTTGATGCCCCCCAAAAGGCCAATTTTACGTTTACTGCACGTACTGCGCTTGGTGGATTTTGATGAAAGAAGAATGTCGCGACACAAGCACCACAGATTTTACGAGTTGCCGTAGCACTGAGTAATTTCAGTAGTAACATAACATCTGTGGAGTTCAGAGAATTTCATTCCAGTACGGGAAAGGGAGGTGTTGGGCGTAACCTACATGTATGAATTGAATAATAGTGCTTTGAGTTTACAAAGAACTATCCAAAAAGGAAATCACCAAAAGGTTTTGGCCCAGCCGTTTCTGCCTGTAAATAAAGATCCATGACAAGAGTTGCCAGTTTGATTCTGACAATTTGTATCAGCTGCAAAGTTTATCGATTGCTGTCCTCATGCACTGGGACAAGTGAATCTCATTTTCTGGGATGATTCATTGTGGCGTGAGTACAGGGCACTAAGCCAGTGAGTAACACTTTCTCGGACGTGGTTTCAATGAGAAAAATGTTGGGTTCACAATTTGAAAAAAAAAAACCAAGTAAGCTGAACATTAACTTTCCTGAATGACATGACCTCACAGCAATACAAGAAGTGCCCTGTGCTGTCTGGCATGGACAATTTTGAACAACCTCACATATTGCACTTTGTAATAACACTTTATCCCAAATAAGGAAAGGATGTCAAAACAGATTTTACTCATTAAAAAGGAGTACAAAGATGCATAAAAAGTGTTTTTAAGAAAAAATCATCACAGTTTACTATACAATGTAGGTGGAGACTAGTGGGACATTTTGATTTGCATAAATACAATGTACATGTACATTCATGTACATATGTACATGTATAGGTGTCATACTAGTGATTTGTAACATACATACATGTACATGAACATACAGGGTACGTACGGGGTTAGCGTGCACTGCATTACTGTTGCACCTTAAACACAGGCAGGTGTTTGCATTCAGACACGTTCTTGATTTATCGATACACTCTTGTGAAAACGAGGGTTTGCATTTCCATAGATATGTCTGTTTTGAGATTTATGGGATTCCACAGCCGGCCTCTTGACCAGGAAGCAGAGAGACATTTTGTAAACAATGACAACTGATAAATCTCTCCTTCAGGCCCTGAGGCATGATTGATAACCTCCTGGTACTCAAGAGTTGTCAATAATGCACTCTGGTCCCCCTCTACAAAAGTCTTTCAGTTGTTAAAAAATACATACTGGTAGAGTATATATCACAGTACATGTACCTACATGTACATGTACATGTACCTGTATGAACGTCTACATCTTTGTACCACTGTGATATGCTGGTTCACGTATGTACATGTACTCTGTACATGTACATATACGTGTACCGTGTTATATATACATGTACATTTTTTAAGTCAATAGTAAAAAAAGTATTAAATTACTAACTCGTCATTCCTAGCATGGAGAGGTTTTGATACCTCTTTGTTTTAGCTTCACTGATTAATTAGTGACAAGTGTGAGTAATGAAAGGTACGAATGTCACGCGTTATGACGTGGCTTCTGGACCTTCGGTACATTTAAATAAAACCTAAAAGAGCTACAGTAAGTAAAAGTTACTTCCTTCAGTTTTTCATACAAACTGTACTGGTACTGTATGTTGCAGTTGGTTTGGGTCCCTTCTAGTCAGGCATGAATTGAAGGTTAGAACAAAGCACTCTGTATACTGTCCAATTTGTTAATTAAAGCTGTTACATGTTACAGTTGGTGTGGAATTGTCCACATCTTTGCTTGTTCACCCATGCCCACGTGCATGTAAACTTCATTATATGACTGATCGATATTATGTGTGCACCTGTATACATGACCTATGGCCTGCTGTACAAGTGCATGCGCATAAGAGTTCAATAGTTAACTATTAACTTAATCTTTAATTATTACTACGGTGACCTTTACTGGTATTTGGACCATCTTGCAAACTGCTATTCTCGTGAGGCAGGCAGACATTGATCCATGTAGTTTAGTGTCCTCGGTGTATATGTATTTGATGCAGTTAACATGGCTCATGTGTAACATGTCAGCAGGTGGTTCTTCAGCTTGTCAGAAGTTTGCATGTGGACCGGTCAAAATGTACACCACGCTAGTCACAGTTGTATTTATACCTATCAGTGGTTGGTTAACCTATGGCTGGTCCATTAGTTCAACAGCAAAAGCATAAAAGTGGACAGGGGCAAATGTACATGTACATTTTGAGGTAAAATCTGACATCAAATAAGCTGATCACATTTCTGTAAGCTGTGGCTGCCCATACAACCTAAGCAATATCACTACCAGCAACTGGACTACATGCACATGAAAAGCAAACGTGCCAGTTTTCATGTTCATCAAGCTCTGTAAAGAGATAAAAGCTGTACATTGTGTGGCCTGACGTTTCAACCTTTCCCTTTAAGACACTGTTGACTAGAAAGGACACACCCAAATGATATGTACATGTACCTCATGCTTGAAGCTCTAATGATGAATTATAGGTGCAGTGTACATGTACATACTGGTACTACCAGCACAGACTACGACAAATCTGCCAGCGTACAATGTACATGTACCGGCACATGTGACCTAAACAGTCACTAGATAAGTGAATTGCTGTCAGTGGAAAGTATTTGATGTCACCATCAAACTATTGATTTCCTATTCCAGCAGATTGGCCAAAGCACGCAACGTACGAGCACCGTGTCATGTTTGTTAATGAGGATATCGGCGACTGTATGCATACACTGTACATTGTATATACCTGGTGCCATGTAATAATAGCCAATCTATCATTAGAGGGATGTATTACATACATGAAAACTGTGTGTGCCTTTTGACCTGCATTTCAGTTTGTATGTACTGTACGCACCAGTACGGAGGAATGTACCATGTGCATAAAAATTTGACATGAAAAGGTAGATTTACATTATTTAATTATAATATGCGTTCAGTAGAAACTGGTGTATACACAGTATATTTACATTTCGCACATGTGAAAACACAATCTGTACCTTCCTGACCTTGCTCATGCATTTACTTGGGCTAATTTCTGGCGTGCATTCATGCATGCAGTAAACATACATGTATGTACATTTTCAACACTTGACATGGTTTGTTGACCTACTTGTCTCTACCGATATGTGCATGCGTACACATGACTGTGCTTTCTGTGAATGGTGCTTCACACATGTATAAAGCACATGCACATGCAGGGACTTGTAAACATTATCAATGCAAAGTTTGTGCATGTTTTCATGTACTGAAACTTAATTTTAAGTCGTCTGCTGAACTGACTCTGCATGAAAAAATTTTTCAGTCTTTTGATTCTAACTAAATTTTTTTGACATGCAAGAAATTGTTCCTCAGAAGAAGTATGTGTTAGTTGGGATGTCTAAATCCTGGTATGTTCACACAAATCATTGGAGTGCCATCATTTCTGCTGTGAGAATTTGCACATTTTTATTCCAGCAGCAAACAGTTTGAAGCATGGTAGTTGGACAGGGCAAAATGCACCTGTTCGAAGGAAACGTTTGTGTTGCTCCTCAAAATAATACCCGTATGGTCATTTTGTGGGTTTTTAGTGACCAGTGCTCAGCAAGATCTAGGGCTATTTTCCATTTGTTTACTGAGCTTCTGGTTTGTCTTTCATCTGCAGGAAAATTTGTCTGGTCCAATGAGGCTGTCCTGTCTGCCATTATGAGCCAGGCAGCCGGCAAGTCTGATTCAGCGGCGGGCTGGTCAGAGATCCAGGACCTCCTCCAGCAGACCCAGCTGGAGAACACCTCCATGAGGCAGCAGCTGGACATGCTGAGGCAAGAGAACCGCCTACTCAAGGACCGCATCAAGACCCACGAGCTGGAGGCGCTGGACTCCAAGACGGACAACGAGAAGGCCATGCTGCTGCGGCTGGAGGGCTCCGTCACCAGCGACGACCGCTCCCACCATGCTGAGGAGGATCTGGACGAGACAGCCGGCTCCTTCGTCATTGCTGACTCCAATGGTGACCAGATACTCCCAGGATTTCCTTCCTCGTCATCAGAGGGATCTGCGGTACCGGAGGAGGTCCCCAACATGTCAGAGAGCAACTGGGAGATTCTCAGCAGTGAGGGTGAGGGTTCCGTGGCCTGTCTGCAAGATCGCATCCACCAGATGGAAGAGAATCACTACACTGTGAATGAAGAGCTTCAGGCAACACTGCAGGAACTTACAGACCTCCAGGATAATGTGAACGAACTCAATTATGAGAATGAAAAACTCACCGAAGAAAAGAGCGTCATAATTGAAGCACTGTACAGACAACTAGAGAAGGTGGAGTGTCTCAAGAACTACTTGGAGTCATTAAAGGGCCGTCTAGAAGAGAGCTGTGTGGATATTGAGCTTGACGATCTTGATGAAACATTCAATACAGCATTCACAGACATCTCTCTGCAAAGTTTAGACTTGACAGAAGTCTGGGGCAGTATGTCCCAAGGCACCGGGGACAGGAAGAGACTGTCAGAGATTCTCAGCGAACATCGGAAGGAGACACAGTCAGAGATAACAAAGCTCAAAGAGAAGATGAACGATATGGAGCGGTCCCTGGACAACACTCTGGTAGAAATGGAGCAACAGTCCCAGGAGCTGACTGTGGCCAAGGGAAAGCTGGCGAGCACGGAGGTTGAGCTGGAGAGGACCCAGGTCATGATGGAGGAGGAACGATCCCGCCTGACAGCTTTGCTGCACAACCAAGACCCTGAGGGCAAGCTTAATCTGGTCAACCTCATGGACCAGGCCAAGCAGGAGAAGGAGGCGCTGGAGCAGCGCTGTGCCATCCTCCAGCGAGCCTTGCAGGAGAGCCAGCAGCACGCCGCCAAGCAGCAACAGGAGATCGAGGAATCGGATCAAGACTTTGAAGCGGCCCGGGAGCACGTCGAGAGGGAGGTCAAGCAGATGAATGAACGGATCCAGGAGGTAGAGGGTGAGAAGCACGAGCTGGAAACTGAGGTCATCAATCTGAAGGAGACCATCCTGGAGCTGGAAGAAGCACGGGAGCGGCACGAGGCGGACAAGGTCAAACACCTGACCACCATCGCCGACCTCAACCAGGCTGTGCAGACTCTCCGAAAGGAAAAACAGGAACAGCATAAAGAGCTCTCTGAACTCAAACGAATCAGTGCACGGGAATCAGAAGAGTGGGTTCAGTTTCAGAAGGACTTGCAGTATGCCGTAGTCATCGCCAATGACTATCGCACGGAGGCCCTCACTGAGGTCCAGCAACTGCAAAAGGAAAAGGACGAACTCGTGGGGAAAATCAAGAGTCTCAATGCTGAAGTGGAACGGCTCCGAAAACTGGAAAGGAAGAATACAGCTCCGAACTTGAGTCCCATTCACCTGAAGCCCACCTCAACAGAGAGCGAAATTCGCCAGCGGATGCATGCTTATATAAAGTCGGACTCTGATATTGTTGGAGCCGGGCAACAAGAAAGTCCAATTCCACAAACACCCAGCTGTCTGTGAAGAGTCTCATCAAATCCATCGAGACGGCAGCAGCAGAGGACTCACCCAAGATCCCCCAGAGTCCAACCTCGGTGTCTCCGGTGAACACAACGTTTTCCAGACCACTCCTGGGAAGACGAAACACCACCACAGCATCCACAAAACCGTTTGAGTCAAAACCGGCCTTCACGCGACGTAACACCACCACATCAATGATTTCCACCGACACCAAGAGCTCTCATGCTGCCAGGACCTGTGATGACCTGAAGCTGACCAAAGAGCCTCTTCGGCCGCTGCTTACCCAGGACACATCTGTTCGGTCACCAACCAGCAGGTCACCAGGAGCCACCCGCAGTGATGCCAGGCAAACTATCGGAGATGCACTTTTCAGGAATACAGATTTCCGGTCCCGGAAAAGTAGCAGCCCGACAACCTCTACAGCTCGGGACTCACAGGATGCAGCAGCAAGTAAGACATCAGGAAGTCCAGGCAATGCCAGGAGAATAAGGTAAGCTGCAAAGGAGGGGACAAGAGAGGTTTGCTTTGTCCTGTTTGCCAACAGCCAACGAACAAACCAATAGCCAAATCCAGGTCAAAACTTTGGGCTCCATCACGGAACTATACAAAACAAGATGGTTGGGTGTGGGATACTCATCAGAGCAGAGTGAGGGCCCATAACAATTGCTTCAAAAGGCTCCAGGCAAGCCCCATGTAGGCATGTCACATCACGTGTCCAGCCATTTGTACAATCCTGTAGTGTGTGTCTGTAAGAAGAATGAAACTGGGCTGAGTTTTTTGATGTCGCTCAATATCACTCTCAGTCTTTTCTAAGCTTACTGTTGAAAATTTAACATAACATTCCCGAAGGTCAAGTTCAGAAGTTAAATTATCTTGAACCTCTTTCAGTACCGTTTCTCTGTTGATGTTGTATTCTTTGGACAGTGATTCTGAAAAGAAAGATCCTCTGTCAGTTCTGGTCAAGTGTGGAGGTGGAGGATCCAAGAGGAACGCTCTGCTGAAGTGGTGCCAAGCCAAGACGGCAGGATTCAAGGTACGTGTAATGCTGACACTTTGTTGGGACATAAAGCCTAGTGGCAGAAGATGCTACGTTTTTGGTTGGGATTTACGATAAAGGGAGTGTTAGTTTAAATAGAGGATTAGATAAGGATACATGGTGGGTCATTCAGTTGTTTGGGCTTTGGTTCTTTGGTTCATGTACATGTTGTAACATGTTTGTGTTTTGGCAGTGGAACATGCTGTTACAAAGCAGTACCAAAACGTAATAAATACAAAATATGCTTTGTAAAGATGAAATTAATAAACTGAAGAAAAGTAGCAATGCTTCCCCTTTTAATTTTTACCTGATCCTCCAAGTTATATTATGTGTTATCTTCTGCCTGCATTAGAATATTGACATCACCAACTTCAGTAGCAGTTGGAATGACGGTCTGGGATTCTGCGCCATTTTGTACAGCTACATGCCTGATAAGATCCCCATGCATGAACTCAACAGCCAAGACAAGGTGGGTTTGTGAAAATTGCATGGTAAAACTCGTCTTACAGTTGCAAAAGTGAATGGTTTTCTCGAAAGGAGACAACTTGATTTGGTTATTGAGACTATGAGAAGAATGATATTGGTTTTCCCAGAAGCAAAGGGCTGTCTTGTACTTGCTAGTCTCAATCCAGGGCTGTTACGCGGCCCATATGGGCAGAGTTGTTAACTTAAGTTGATTCTACGATGACATTGCAGCATAGTGCTCCAATTCATAGGCACAGAACTTCACCCTGTTTGAGTCCCAATGCGTAAGGCTGACTAGGAAAAATTACTGTCCGTCCCCAGAGAGTTTCAGTAGACCCAGGGATAAATTCATCCATCAGCTGGGGGACAACATCATGAAAAGTGCTGTGACCTTCCGGTAAAGGTGTTATGCAAAATAAACGTTCAAATTCAGGATTGAGATTTCTTGAAGGTTATTGAAGCTGCATAATTATTCATTGCATCTAGGACTTACAGACTCATCAGCTAATGTGTTTCTTGGTTTTTTTAAACAGAGACGTAACTTCAAATTGGCATTCCAGGTTGCGGAGAAGTTGGGTATTCCTTCCATTTTGGTGAGTTTCTGCTCGGATTGGTTTCTGTTTCAGCAGTGTATTTCGTAACTTAAATGTGTTGTTTGCTTAGACGTTTCACTTTGGAAATCAAATTCTGGGCTCGAGAATGCTTCTTAGGAGGCCATGTCTAATCAGGGCTCTGCTCCACTTTTTCCACATTCAGTTTTTCAACAAAGGACAGAAATCCTGAATTTCTGTCCTTTGTGTGGTGGGAAAGCGGCTGTTTTTTTTTTCAGAAGTGAAATGTGAGTCAATCAATAGAACTAGTACATGTATTAAGATGCTGCACTCTGCTGATGATCAAACTTGAATGAGCTGAAATGTGTCGAGAACTGGATGTTTAACTATCTGAGAGTCAACAGACCTCTGTAATGATGATGCCGCACTGTTTACATGTGCGTTTCTCATGTTGTTCAGTGGACTGTTGGGACCTCACCAGCTTTTAAACCACTTTGGGCTGGGGGCATGTATAGATGTCGATTCTGCTGGGTCGGAGTATTTTTTATTTTTTACTGTTTTCAAAATTCTTTAAAAATCCATGTCTTCATTTACTGGACACTTACAACCACAGGAAGGACTGTCTGGTTTCTACTCTAATCTGACAGACAGCATCTACTGACGCTGGAGTATTTCAGCCGGGCCTGCCGCCTTGTAAAAAGAGCCCAGATTGTGCGATGTTATGTAATTTTCTTTGTTCCCGAAACTGGCACAGTGGGCTGCTTACATCCAGATTAGCATGCAGCAGTACTGTGTGGCTCATTGCTGCAGCTATAGAACGCTTTTGTCCCGGTTGTAATCCACTTGCACCGAAAACCACAAACAGTGGTATTCTGTTTCAAAACAAGGCTGGATTATCTCCACTATTGAGAGTGAAAAAATGTTGGTAATGCCTAGCAGCCTGGTCTCTTTGTTACGAGTACGCTCTTTTGTTACAAGGCCCAGTTCCCTTTTCCGATTTCGGACACCCTGGCTGCATATATAAAGAATATGTGTCCGAAACCGGGCTCCCCAACAGCAAGAGGTTAAGAAATTGCACATGTAAAACAAAGTGTGATATCAGCGCATGGGCTTGTTAGATTGATTCAGTTGGTCAATCTGCAGCCAGGATAAACTAAATGGACCCAAAGTGTCCTCTATTTACCACGTGGAAATGTGTTCATGTGATTTTAATTGGTTGCCTACTTTGATTTCCAAGTATGTTTATAGAGATATCAAAATCACCTGCCCAAAATGAAATGGAATTTTTACACCAAAAGTCAGTGGCATTGTGCTTATCTACTGCAGGGCACCTTTAACCACTTGCTGCCAGGGATTCCGGTTTCGGACACGTATTCTTTATACCCGTGGCCGGAGTCTCCGAAATCGGACAAAGGGAACTAGGCCATACTTATAACAAAAGACCAGGCTGCTGGGAATTACCAGCATTTTTCACTCTCAATAATGGAGATAATCTAGCCTTGTTTTGAAACAGTATACCACGATTTGGAGCTTTCAGCGCGAGTGGATTACCACCGGGGACAAAAGCGCTCCACCACCGCAGTGATGAACCACACAGTACGGCTGTACGCTAATCTGGCCCCTATTGAAAAGAGGTCAGCAGCCCACTGTGCCAGTTTCGTGAGCAAAAGAAAATAATGTAGCACCGCACAATCTGGGCTCTTTTTACAAGGCAGCAGGCCTGGCTGAAATACTCCAGCATCAGTAGATGTTGTCTGTCAGATTTGAGCAGAAACCAGACAGTCCTTTGTGTGGGTGTAAGTGTCCAGTAAATGAAGATGTGAATTTTTAAAGAATTTTGAAAACAGAAAAAAATGAAAATTATCCCATTCCAGCATCATCAACATTCATCAATGCCCCTGGAGTGATGTGGTTAAGGCCAAATACTTGAAAAAAAATTCTGCAAGCAGCATAAATTTATCCCCTCTCATAGTTTAATGGGGAAATGTAAGATTTTCAACATGTTGTTCTCTCTTTACTGCAGGATATTGAGGACATGGTGAAGATGGAGAGACCAGATTGGCAATCTGTCATGACCTACGTCACATCACTCTACAAGCATTTTGAGACATAACCATTCTCTCAAGCTCAAGATCCCGATTCAGGTCACCTTCAGAGCAGGGTCGAAAATTAATGACTTGGAGACTAGCAGATTTTAATGACATGTGCATGCAACATTCCAAGTGAAATGGTATTCAAGCTTCATTTCGCCATACCTTGTAAAAACAGATTCATTCCTTTGCGCATATGTGCAAACAGGAGATGGCCAAAAAATACCTGTTTAATAGGAGGGATCCACAATAGAGTGTCACGAAGGCATTTATGGCCACAAAGAGGCCACCCGGCCAGAATTTGCATTTGAGCATGTGTCAGTGGACAACTTTGGAATTTTTTGATAGATAGGGATGTTCCATGCTACTTCAAATACTTGTTTGAATCATCTTCCTTGACAAATGAACATTGGGAATAATTCAAGTGCCTGCATCCAGCCGGCAAATAAAATTTGTTAACCATTTCCCACAGTGCACTGGGAAAAAAAATGGCTTTTCCATGGCAACCTCTCAGTGCTGCGTATTGTGAAATGCCAATATAGTCCTGTCATGTGTACCGTTTTTACACAGTGTGTTGATACACAGTGCCAAATTTGTAAGCAACACATTATCCACTGTGACTAGAAGCACTAGAAGCACCCCCTCTCTGGCAATGAAGAGACAGGCTGGTGAGAAGATTTTCAACAGGGCTTTGTTTACACACAAAGACTTTACATTCCATAGCTGGTACCAGTACACTGCAAGAGAAATTGGCCACACGTGCTCAGTTTGTCCCGCGCCAAGTATGCATGAATTTGTGCACGTGCACATCAAATAAAGGGATGCTGTTGTGTGAAAGCACTCCATCAGTCGTTCAGGCTTGCAGCAGGTGCACTCCTTACAAGTTGTCACATGTCATTCATCCTCAATCGAACCCAAAGCTTTTTAAGTGAACTGTGGACTTGTGATTGGCTCATGATTGACTTGTGATTGTCTGCAGGTACATCCCACCTTTGGTACATGTACGTTTGCTCACAAGTGTATGTGCATTGCTGTCGAAAGTAGCAAATTAAATTAAAATTTGGCGCTCATGGGCCAAAGGAATGGGAAACTTTTGACTTGGTTGGTGGCAGCAAACATTCCAGTTGTTCCATGTTACCGGTCCGCTATTGTTGGTTGCCATTGTGAGTATGCCCACGTTAGCAGAAACGTGACATAAATAGTGGGCATTTAATTTTGTGCTGGCAGATGTCTCTAAAGTCTCCCATTTAAGTCTCCCATTTAAGGGATGTCTTCAGGCATGCACAAATGTGTACCATAGACCCTACACTGCTGTGGGGCCCTCAAAACCCTCTGGTGTTCATTTCGTGGATATTTTATTTTCCTCCAATCTGATTCCTGGTTAGCAGTGATAGGAATAGTTAAATACATGTATTTGATGAGGCAGTGTTGACATTTCAAATCTAATTCCATTATAATTGTGGTGTTACAGTGTGAACATAGTATGTATAACTGAACTGGTATATAAAGAGCTTTATTGTGAAGACCGTGCATGTCAAGGAAAATTTTAATATTGAAGGTACAAAAGGCTGAAATTGTTGAGGCTCGGTGACAGGTGTAATCATGTGGTTTTACAGGGGGAAGCAAACCTGTAGTCACGCTTGCAGGCATTGAATTGTCATCGCTTTGCAAGGAATCTTGGGTTTTCCTGAGCAGCATGTGCGACTTCTCTTGGAGTTCCACTTGACCCGTTTGGTGCTCCTTTCTAAAAGAACTGGCAAATATCCTAGATTTTAGGGTCATAGATATGTTTTGTAATATCCAAGGTGAAGTTTGGGAAAACTTGAGGATTTTTCTCTTGCTTTGCGGACTTTTCTCTCTGAGCATACTTTTGGTTGAAGTTCGATAATTTGAAGTAGGTCTTCATCTGTTGATTGGGGCATTATTAGTGACACAGAATATTTCTGATGAAGACAATGTCATATCATAATGTTATATTCCTGACTGAATAATACTCATCCTGTTCAAACTGCAGTGGTGTGGATTTACATATTAAGCCTTGAAAAGTCTGGTCAGATGTATATAATTTCGTAAATAAATGTACATTTAGTTGAGTTCCTGTATTCAGAGAGAGAGACATTCTGTAAATTTATTCAAGTGATTATGTCCGTACAAAGTAACAAGTTTTTTTTTTCTATTTGCTACAGTGGAGCTGTAAGTGATTAGATTTTTCATAAATTTTGTATCAGAATTTATGATCAGTATGTGGATTAATCAAGAAAGTGCTCTTTCCCATTTGAATGAGAAAACGTCCACAGACACACTCCTTCATTTTGGGAAATAAAAATTTTTGCTTCTTGTTCATGAATGAATGATTCAGTGCACAACTGAAAAAGCAGGCTGTGAATGTATTGGAGAAAAGCAACTCGGATAGTTTACGCTGGTTTAATAAACGTCTACAGTTTCCAGCAAAAACAAATAAACATGATTATGACATTGAAACATCGTTCAGCTGTGTTTGTAAGAAGAATAAGTCATAGCAAGCAATAGTTCTTTTCTTTTTTAAACTCAGTATTACACATATTCCAAATTTTAAATACAACACATGTATTTTAATTTGTCATTGGCTTCCTTCTTCCAATAGCTTTGTTTAGCCTAATAAAGTCTGTAATCAGCCAAGTCGCACTTACTCTAGACAAACACATGTACGATAATTGATATTGCATGCAGGTATGTGGCTTTGCATTTTTCCTGAACTGCATTCCTTTCGAAGTGTCATATTCTTTTAATGCAATAATGCCACTGGATTTATAATGCGTACAGTCTTGGATTAATCTGTCTGTTTACATACAACAAATATGATCCATATTTGCTAGACATATGAGAGTCGTGAAATTGATTTATAAATTCTGGAGTTATCTTGTGTTAATTGCACTATGAAGACGTACCTATCTTCCCGGTTTTCAATGTAGTCTTTCAGAATCTTTATTCCAAGTATATTTTGAGAATTGAATTTTTAAGTTAATTCTGCTATTAAAGTCAATATGCTATGAAAGCAGTTGGCCTATGAAAAAGGAAATAATTTTGCTTTAATCTCTAATTATATATGTTTATCTTATCCCCATCTTACATTATGGTACTTACCATTCATTACTGAAAACTTTTCCTCTAGATAGTTTTTTTGTATTCAGATGATACTTAATAATGTTTAGCACGTGTATTTTTCACTTGCTTTTTGAGAGCCACATTGTGAATATTTTGTGTTTATTGTGTGCATATATTTTTGCTGTAAGAGACTTTGGTTATTGCAGTGTTCTGTTCTTGATGTAATGTAAATTTTGTTATTTTTGTACTAATTTACCTGTAGGGTTTTAATTGAAGAAGATAGTGACACAATACTGTATTTTCTGGATTTGTTTGGAAGGTTTTGTTTTGTACTGGAACATGGTAACGTTTTTGTCTTCAGAGTTTGCACAAACTGGATAAAGAAGATAAGTAGAAAGTTTATTTATGCAGACAATTATTTAAATACCTAAAGCAGTTTTATTGTATTCACAGAAGCAAGTCTTTCCCTTCCTTTATTCTCACGTGAGAGAGCATGTTGGTTCAGAATTGTTTGTAACATTTTTAAGCAGCGTCATACTTAAAATATTGTAAACTGAAGATATAGTCACGTTCCACATGGCTTTGAAAAACAAAAGTATCTTTTACAGAAGTATCCATTTGTAAGAATTTGTATGGCATGTTCTTGGTTTTGTTTTTCAAATTTCACGTTACAACACTTTAATAGTGTATTCCTCATTCAATACCGAGTCTTTTTTTCTAGTTTTATTTTAATGAGACTAAATGGTTGTTAAACCTCTGCAACCCTCTACACAGTATGCTAATGAATATTTAATTGCTGCGAGTAATAACTCTTTGAAAAAACTATAGATATTGACCTTCAACGTAAATATTCAATAAGAACAGCTATGGTGAAATTCAATAACAATGGTTGATTGTTTTTATTTTTTGTGTAAGGTTGGAGTGAAATTCTTGATTTTGTTAGGTGGTTACATTTTAAAGGGGTATGCACTTTCAAGGTTTGTTTGTTTCCTCACCTGCCGGCCTGGTAGCATTGCTAAAAGACGTTGAAAGGCGAGAGTCTTTCATTTTGAAACAAACTGCACTTAGTGCCCTTAAGTTTTAGGGGAGGGGCTCTCAGTTTGGTGTCGTTACGTACTGGGTTGATACTGTTCACACATATACATACAACACACGGTCCCCAGTTCCAAGAACGATCATGCTACTGTAGTCTCATTAATTCCAGTCCTATCGCCGAGATTGTTTGGAAAGTTTTAGCCAATCGGCTAACGATTTTCCGCTAAATGAATTAAGTCACCGTGAATATATTAAAAAACAAGCCAATGACAGCTGAGGCCGAAAAGATTCAACCAATAATACTGTACTTTGCACGCACGCGCGCTCAAGGATATTGCCGCCGTGCATGCTGCATGCGCTATATCATATCTGTGCGCGATATCGATATCCGCAGGAAATTTAGCTTGATGATCTACGTGTACGAAGATTGAGGAAAACTTTTCTTCAAAGAGCATCCAACCAGCTTCAATTTGTATTCTTGTAGACGCGAATCAAACGAAGACAATCAGCACGTCTGTTATTTCCGCTTTGAATAAAATTAGCATCTCAAGTTCTTTGACCAGTTCTGCTTTTAATTCACTGACTGTCACACACTGTTCAGCTGTTACTAGTGTTAGGCCTAGGCCTACTGCACTCTGCGAATTCAAGTTGAAGTTGAAGAAAATCAGTTTGACACGGGTGCGAGCAAGGACCACCTTTTCACTTCAGCTTGAAGCATAACAGGAGCAGGTAACGTTAGGCCCTACGTTAAGGCATGACGATTTTTTCCCCCGCTGGCATGGTCGGAAACCTAAATATTGCAATCCCATGTGCTCGGCAAGCATGGCTAGGTCTTGATCTAGGGCCTAGCCAAAGGTTTTTAGGCCGAGGCCACAATATTTTTGTTGTCTGATACTCATACTCGTACTCATACTCAAAGGCATGCAAGAATCAGTGAGGGCGCTGTTCATTTGGGAACTTATTTTCAATGGAGATTAAAATTTGTCTTTTTCTGCACACTCTAGCTCCTCTATTAAGGCCCTGGGCCTAATTTTCAATTTTTTTGAAATTTCAAGTGAAGCCAATATTTACATGTACACTAATTCATTGAAATAAGGCATAAATAAAAACATAAGATTTTATGAAAATATGGATTTTAAGCTTCATTTTTGTGTACAAAAAATCACCATTTGCTCCGCATTACACATGTACAAAAAAGTCCCAAAACATCTCACAAAGGACTAGGCGTATCCCTATTTTAAATCAGTATTTCTTTGCTTTGAATGGACAGATGGAATCCAAATATATCAAAATGTTTCTTATGACATTCTCTCCAAGATCACATCAAAAAGAAAACCTCCCCAAAATAGATGATAAGCCTCCCTATCATAGGCATGATAGGCCTAATCGTAAAGCCAAGATTTCTAAGAGCAAAGGCGTAGGCTTAGGCCTTAACTGTTCCTTTCTAGGCCCCATGCTTTTTCCAAATGGCGTAGGCTTAGGTACCAACGTTGAGAGGCCGAACCTGCTGCATTTTGGGAAAAGCAAATGGGCCTAGGCTGACTGTTTGAAAGTGTGATTTCTTTCCTCTGTTTCAGGTGGTAGACTACTGGAAAATTCTGAATCCTAGTCCTACTATTTCCTAGTTCTACAGATAGCATAGTGGAAAAAAGGTTTTGAGAGAATATAAACACCTAACTTGTGTATGGTCACAAATGAGTCGCAACGCTAAGTTGTTTTCCCTACAGACATGTCCGAGAGGAAGGCTGTCATCAAGAATGCCGACATGTCTGAAGACATGCAGCAGGATGCAGTGGATTGCGCCACCCAAGCTCTGGAGAAATTCAACATAGAGAAGGACATCGCCGCCTACATCAAGAAGGAGTTTGACAAGAAGTACAACCCCACCTGGCACTGCATTGTGGGCAGGAACTTCGGCAGCTATGTTACGCATGAGACCAAGCACTTCATCTACTTCTACTTGGGTCAGGTGGCTGTGCTACTGTACAAGTCAGGATGAAATTGGATTTGACACATTTGCTATTATAAGATTAGTCCTTTGTGAAAGCTTTGTTTTTCTTCCAAATTGCTCAATTTGCCAAGTTTAGCATGAACCTAGATATGTATCACCATCACACTGCCCACCATGAGAGATATTTCACCTTTGTGTCTCAACCCAAACCCCATGAGGTTTTCTCCAGAGATCCTACTAATGTAACAAACAAAACACAGCCAGACTGAGGACCCTGCCGAGTGTAGGCAGTATTAAATATCAGCCTTGACACCATACAAAAATAATGTACATGTACCTTAGCTATTTTTGTTGACTGCTAAATCCAAGTGTACAATGTTACTGCAATTTTGGGCATAGTAGGTTGCGCTAAATTTTTACTGTCCTCTTTTAAGCATTCATCTAGGCTTGAATTACGGCAGAATGTGGGAGCAACAAATACAATTATTTCCTTTCTACTGGGTATTGTATGGACTCCTTAAGCCTGTACCATTGGTGGTAATAAGCAAAACACACACATATCACATCAAAAGACATACTACCACTTCTTTATTTCAGCTTTTAGAAGAGATTGGCTCATGAGGACTCAGTCTGCAATCAAATTTTTAAAAAAAGAAGACAAAGAACAGTTACCAGTACGGGAAGGTATGATTTTTAAAATAAAAATTCCACTTTGCCTCAGCTTGTAATTATTTAGCCCTCTCAGTGACCTAAAACAAACTCAACAGTTTATACAGGCATGCAACTTTTCCTCGGATCAGCTGATTTCCTTGTATTTCACTTCACACTCATGCCACTGAAGATTGAAAAATGCTGTACAAAGTGTTGTAAAGATTAGAATTTCCTTGTGCTTTGTCAAAGTCCAAGTTGCATGCCTATTTCATCAACTTGATACTTCCCATCCACATCTGTTAAAACTTCTCAGGAGTTGACTTTCTGTATAGGTGCTGTGTATTATTCCCTTGTTTGTACAAATCAAATGTTCAAAGTTTACGACAATGGAATTTTCTATAACAAGAATTTGATTAAGAAAGGACAAACTTTAGGGTACTTCCGTAGCTGCGGAAAGGAAAAATTGAACCTCTACAGTTTTCAGACCAATCTGTTTTCGTTTTTTCTGTAATAGGAAATTCTGTACAAAACAGACACTGATTTTTTTCCAATAAAAGCAATGTCTAATAATTAAATGTCATGTTGGAAAATCCAGTAATTGTTTTCACAATATTCTTCACATGTATACCATTGCTGTTTCTGTCCAGTGCAACGTCTACCACAGATTGTTAAAATGATAGCTGTCAATGCCAAATTTTGGCCATACCTTTTTACATTCCTGTACTATTGCATAATAATTTTTCTTACTTGAATTAAAAGCTGACTCAGATTCAACTATCTTATAATTTAAAGCCAGAGTGTATGGCTGCAATTCCGAATGAAAGGTTTTCATAAGTAACCATCGAAAATCCAGCATCTTGGATCATCTCAGCAAATTCCTCCTGAATAGAATGACAAAGAAAAATGCTGTTTATCACCAAATAAAATATTCTTGATTTGCAAATTACTTTTTTTAAAGTAAAATTTAAGGCTTACATCTGCAGCATCTTCCATCTCTTCCTACAAGCAAATACGGCAATGAAAAATACAAGATCAAATTTACTGAGAGCGTAGTGATATGTGTACTTAGTTTTGAGATTTTATGTCAAGGAAGCCTTAGAAACATTTGTGTGTGTGTTTGATAACTGAAATTACTACAATAAAACAGTTCCTGTTAAAAAGTTTTGATTGTGGACTCCGTCATTTAACACAGCAAACGGGAAAAAATGACAAGTGGGTTTACCACAATGACAGTGGTATGTACCTGATTTGGGAACTGTCTGATGCTTTCTACCAGGTATTGATAGGACTTCCAATCAGATGCTATAACTTGACCAAGAACTGGTATCACTTGGAAGGAGTAGTTGTCATATAAACTAGGAGTGTAAAAAGATAAGATTACATCATGGAGGTCTTTTACACCAATTTATCATCAATTTATAAATCATTGATGAAGGGACAAAGTCAACTTTTCACCTTCTGAGAAGTGGGTTATTGATGTGACTGAACTCGAGACACAAAAAGCGTCCTCCAGGAACAAGAACTCTGTGTGCTTCATTGAGCGCCTACAGGAGAAAAAGGTGACATAACAATAAACTTTGTAAATCATTTTTTGAAAAAAGTTTCAAATTGATTGATATCAGATTCAGATTGATATCGAGCAAGAAAAACTTTTCATCTTCGGTGGTTAACGATGATTCTTGATCTTATTGTGAAGAGGACAAGAAATCTCATACTTTTCAACATGCTGTGTTTTGAAATGGTTACACCATGACCCTTTCTCCAAAGACATATTACTTGCGCCTTTCAACCAACCAACAGAACACCTGTGGTTAAGTGCAATTTTAGGCCTTATATGGTTGCGGGGGGGAGGCAAAATCTTTCTGATTTATGACATTGAACCTAGAAACCCAATAAATAAAAAAAAAAGCCAACCAACCTCTTGAACGTGTGTGACATTTCGTATGCCAAACGCTATGGTGCATGCATCAACTGACTCGCTTGCAATAGGGAGTTCCTCTGCATCACCAACAACCCACGAAATACCTGGCAGAGGAAAGTTCAGGAAGATGTATTGTATGCCAATCAGATGTGTATGGATAATTCACAAATGAACCTGAAGTCATAAACAGTGTACCTCTGACAGTTTGACCATTCCTATTTGTCGATAGCCTATCAAATGGGTGGTTTTATAGCTGTTGATAAAACTACCAAATTTAAATACTTTCCATGTTTCACATAGAATGTTGACTCCTATCTTGTGCACTATATTCTATTTAATTATCCCCACACAGACAAAACAACCTATGAGTCTGCATCTCACAGAGTCGAGATTTCACTCAACATCTATGTAACACTGTGTTCTTTGCCTCACTGCACAGTGTGCACTATGCATGCCAATGTCCATATAAGGAGATTTCAGTCAGGCGCACACAAGGAATGCTCCAAAAATTTTACTAGGTGGTTGTATCACTATTATGAGGTACATTTGAGGGAACAAAACTTCATGAAAACATCATCCATTGACCCTGATTTGACTTTTACAAGAAATTATCCATGAACAGGAATAAAAATGTGATTGTGCAGTTTTAAATAAATACATGTACATTTAAAACCAGCTAGAGGCCTGGCTTCACATGACTTGGTTTATCCTTATCCCAGGCCTCTGTCCAGTTTTAAATGAACTCTAGTTTAATATCACTCCCTAACAACCAACCCTCTGTCAAACCCCTCTCCTCTGCTCTCTGCTGGCCAACCTTCAGCATGGGCAGACTGATGTCACACACGGTCACCCTTGTGCCGTCTCTCCAACCGGACCTTCCTTTGTCTGAGGTGTACTCCGAGTCAGAGCCTGAATCTGATGACGAACTGCTGTCGCTTTGCCTTCCAAGAGAGAGGCTGCTCAGTTGGGCATTTCTGACAAAGTCCAGGAAACGGAAGGCAATATCCCCTTGGGAAGAAAATGCATCAGGAGAAATGAAGGAAAAAAATGGAGCATAAATGCAGATAAACTGCAAAACTGTTAGAAAATTAGCTTGTAATATGTTACATTTTGATCTTTTTTCAATATATAGTCACACCTCTTTAATAAGAGCACTGTTAATACAAGACTCTGGTTATAAAAAGGAAATTTTTAGGTCCCAATCCTTTTTTTTTCATTGTTTTTATTCCTGCTAATACAAGGTTCCTGTTACACCAAGGTAATTTACCAAGTCCGAAGGACCTCTTGTTAACAGCGTTTGACTGCACTGTATCACATCTCATTTCTGACAGTTCCCCCCCCAAAAAAGGGATATCGTTTTTAGTTAAAATAAAGAGTATAAATTTAGCAATCCCCTGTTTTCATATTATTTTCAACTAAAAACTTAAAATGTCTTGATATTTTAGGATTATACAGTAGTCCGATTTTCGGGATTTTACCAATGGTGTCCATTACCTTTAAGGCTTAGGTTTTTCCATTTATACCCTTTGCATTGCTGCGATCATCCGCAGCAAATATAATCTGGTTCGTAACTGTGACGTCACTTCATTTGAATCCACACCCACTGTATACGGAGTTACATGGAACCATGGAACCAGAAATTAAGACGCAACTTGTTTGTTCATACAATGGGAGCATATAATTTGTGGTGCGTGCGTGTGTACATATATGATGAAGTCACAAACATTAGAAATCAAGACCATACATGTATAAGTGCAATGTATGTCCATTTGAATCACCTGTTCCTCCAGCTACGTCAAGCAACCTTGTCCCCTGTGTTGGTTTGAGAACCTGCATGAATTGGTCTTTCCACAATCTGTGGATGCCCAAGCTCATTGCATCGTTCATAACATCATACTTCTCTGCAACATTCTTGAAAATTTCATACACTGTGAGGAGCGAAATCAAAGTACAAAACAGCTTCAATGTAATACCAGCCTAGGACCCATTCTTCCAGAAGCCATATCAAGATCACTATAGCTATAATGTCCATGATGGTATAAAGTACCAAAGTAAATACATCACGCACACAATAATGTGTGCAAAAGGCATTAGCACGAGAATCAGCACATGAAACAACATGTGCACATACTTCATTCATTTGCATGACACTTTCTGTTTCACTGTGATGTCACACTTCGGTATAGTCACCAGGTCCCTAATTTTGCCATCTGTTGTCAAGTCTGATCGGTTTTAATAGTAAATAGTGAAATAAGCGACCTGGTGACTATACTGTCATGGCTGTTAAATCCAGTGTGAAATTTCTTCAATAACCTGAAGAATACAGGTACTCAATCAGAATAAAAGGAACATGACAATTTAAACAATGTTTTCTGGAATCTAAAACCAGAATACTAGAAATCATTGATCATCAAAGTTTCATTTAGATCTGGGGTAGCATTTTTCCTGTAAATCTGAGCAATCACAGCTGCTTATGTTAAAGTTTTCGGCTGAAACAGAGATTGATGTCATCTGTGAAACATGATCTACATTCTACAAATAGCTCAGAAATTACATTATGGTTGCACAATCAAGCGCCATATGCATTGTGTTGTGTCGTTGCTATATTGTAGTTTGGTCCCCGACCTATTTAAGCCTTAACCCAAGAACTGTGGGGTTTGTTGTCTCCTGCACTCTCATGAATGGACTACACACCCTACAGTTTGGTGGGTAATCTAGGCCTAACAAAAGGAACATGAGCATAATAATGAGGAATAAAGAACCACTTGAAAGCTCCACAACCGTCCAACTATAAAATATAGGGCCACTCGGTTTGGACTTAGATTTTACTTGATGGAAACAGGAACCCGACTAGTCTGCAATGAATGGATCATGGACTTTATTTCCTGCAGGGGTATGAATCTATCAAAAAGGCTACAAAAAGTTTGTACATTTTGTAAAGTAAATATGCAACCTGATTGAGAAAATGAAAAAGGAAGATAAAAAAGAAAATATTTCCACCTTCTGTGAGATTTGAACCCAGAATGTGCTCGTCACACAGTAGCGTGCATATTGACTGTGCCATTGCAATGACACAATAAAATTTGGAAATTAAATCATATTACCAATGTCCACCCATACACAGGCTTCATACGTATGATACGCATATCAACCACGGGAAATTAACCTCTGTTCCTTGCTCCATGAATCAACCATACAAAGGCTTCATATGTATGGGCTCATCATGAAGGAAGGGGGGGGACCCTTTGAGCTTCATGGTATCATACCTCTGATCGTACATATCTTGTCACTCCGATCTGACGCGATATCGTACATTCGTAGGCCTACCATCTGACCACCATGACCATGCCTACTGCATGATACTAGGCAGTACTAACACCCACCTTTTCCTGGTTTCTCGGTTTCTTTCACAGTTTCAAATCCGAAGTGAGTCTCTTTCTGTTCAAAGTCATCGGAATCACTCGATGCATCGGATGCACTCGAAGCATAACTACTTGCGTGTGAGCGTCTCCCTGCAAAAGTGGGTCTACAAAGAAGCCGAAAACACGACCGACAAAACACCCAGCGCGCTGCCATATTGAAAAATAATAGTCTCTTTCTCAAATAATAACGTAACGTCAAATACACCGTCAAATAATATTTGATAAATATATGACATTTAAATTTTAAAACAAATTTTGTGCAAAACTTAGTCAAAATAGAAATTATATGACAAAATTTATGAGTTCAAATGGACTAAAATATAGAAATTATTAAATATTAGCCAGTAATCGATAATAATAAATGAAAGAGGAGAAGAAAATTGCCAAGTTCGAAAGTGAAAAATGGCGTCTGCTTACATGGATTTCGCAATGGAGGAGCGACAGAGATACCGTCACTGTGCCGCGAGGTTACTTGGCATGGTTTTAGAGGCAGGGGAAAAACAAAAGAACGAACTGAACTCACTGCTTGATGAATTGAATTCTCTGGCGTATTCTGTAAAAGGCCTCGTTGAACAGGTAATGTTCGGCTGTAGTGTGGTGCGCCATGCTGGTCATGCTGTAGTGGTACTGCCGGTGCTGGTAGGCCGTATGTCAGTCAGGTGGTACAGGTACTGAGGTAGGCTAGCCCATGTAGACGTCGGCTACATTCACGACATTGCTTTGCGTCAGTCGTCGTGTAAATGAAGAAATTTTTTACAGTGTTTAAAAGATCTGTTGGCCACGAGGGCAAAAATAAAAAAAAATAATTGCATTGAATAATCTCTTTTTTGAAAATGTGTGGCCCATTGGGCCATTGGCTCTGAAAAGAGCCATTTGGATTTACATGGAAGGACCATGCAGGTGGCTGCACGCAGCCAAGACTCCTGATGCCTTCAGTTCGCCAGCTATATACTGTACATTTCCCATAGCTGGAAGATCCTCCCTTGTTGCTGTCTGCTACTGCGGCATATCTTTGATTCTCTGACGAGAATCATCTTGATATTGACCATCCTTGCTTCTGCGTGGAGGAGGGGTATGATCTTGTAGAGTCCCAGTCCTGGTCCTCCAGCTTTGACATTGAGTCTCCGATGCCAACCCTCCACATCGTTGTTGGTCCGCACACTGTGGTTGAAGATAGACCAATCCCGAGGTGGCAAGACACTGCTCTTGATCCAGGTTTCTTCAATGTAATTGAAGAGCTAACACAGGAGGGGCTCTGTTACTTGGCTCTGCAGCTATAATGAAAGCTTGCTGTATATGTTCATGTGGAAGGAACGGCAAGGCCATCAGCTTGCAGATGATGCGTTTTACGGCAAGCTCCGATGTGTATGGTACAGCTAATCCGATGCTTTGGCACTTTCTCCAAAGCACCTGCAACCAGTGATACTAATAACCTTTGATCTGACGATCAGGGAAGATGGCTCGAAGTGCAGACCACAATCCTGCTTCAAAATCCACAACAAAGTTCTGGACATGGCCACCTCTTAAGGCCAGATGCTTCTTTATAGCCGAAGAACTTTGCGGTAGTCCTTCTTGGTGCGGGGAGACATCAGACAGAATGCCAGGGGAACTTGCTTCTGCTGCCCGTGCTCTGACTTGACAAAGGCTGGGATACTTAGAAGTTGGGCAAAAGGCTTGTGCACAATCTTGAATGTACCGTCAAGGTACCAGGTCTTGGCCTGGTCGAAGATCGTGGTTTGCTCTGGTGACATGAAGAGCAGGTGTTGTTCAATGCCGATGATGATATCCTCCATTAAGAAATCAGCAGGTATGAAATCAGTAGCCTGGTAAAACTTGAGATCGGTGGGTTCATGTGGACGAAGAGCTTGACGGGTTTGGTTGGCAACCCACACCAAGTTGGCTGGCTTGGGGAAGCTTGCTGGTCGGATGTCAGGTGCTATGCTTGTCATCACTTCCTCCACAATAGCACCAGCAGATCTGAACACATCCTGCTTCGACTTGGCTTTTACTGCTGATGCAAATTCGACAGCAACAGCTGCGTCGGGATCCGCTGGATGAGAATGTTGGTTGGACGAGCCAGGCTGGAAGACATCTCCATGGTGTATTTGTACCCCCAGTTATCAACCAAATTGGCTTCCCTCGCTGGGTTCCGTTCTGCAAAATCTTATCAACTCGTGGTCGGTGGTTGCGAGATCTTGAGGGACAGGTGCATCACCGATGCTCTCCTCTTCCGGTGGTTGGGGTATCTCAAGACTAGCCGAGATGTCAAACGGCACGTCAGACTCCACATTGGTACAGGGTGCATGCACGTCCACTTCCATCACATCATCTACCACTCCAGCAGGGGAAGTTCTTGAGCAGATGCTCTGGTACTTTCTCCCACTGGAACTGCAGAAAAAGAAATGGAACACAAGGCGCAATGCCACGATGTGAGCTTTAAAAAGTCGTCCATGAACGGCTTGTAATCTTCAGCCGAGAACCTTGTTCCACAGGCGAGATGTTGCCATCCGTTGCAATCGTCACACTGAAGTGCCTTCTGGTTGCTCCGGACAGCCTTGGAACAGACAACACACGGGAATTTCTTTTTGACTTCTTGAACTGGCTTGAGCAAAGCTTGGAAAATCTTGTCTTGACAGCGCAGTTAGCACCATTGGAACAACTTCGGTCAGGTTATATACCCTTTGGTGGGATTCTGAAACGGATTTCAACTAACCGATCAAATTAGGGACAAGTTGAGGTTGAAAATAGTCCCCAAAATTAATAGCATAACAAGGAAAGTGTTCTAACAGCTTGGCGTTCCCAACCTAGTCGTTGGCCCCCGCTACAAAGCCAAAGCTGCTGACGTGCCAAACTCTGCCTTAGAAATCAGTGATGCGTCAAAAGGTTGCCTGTGCTCATTGATCAGTACCACACACCGACTGCACGGACCACACAGACAAAGGATATGGCTAATTAGCAGTTCTTAAATGTTTCACTGTAGAAACCAATTTATTCTCTAATTATTCTATCCATATTAAAGTCAAAAGTAACACTGGTCACACAAACATCATTTTTGGTAGCATCCTGGGAGCTTGCCCTTTATTACAAAATGAAGCACAACACAACCGTCAACATTACCCAGCCAATTTCACAATTGAAACAGAACTTCTCTAGAGCTTTGCAGTGCGTACTTAAATTAGTCAACCTGGATATTTTGAGAAGTTTTGGATGTGTTTCAATTTTTTGTGCGTGTGTAATCAGTGAAGAGCAAACTGTCATACAAAAATTTGTGTGGATCTTGACTGAAAAATCTTTGGGAAAGAGTTCCAGGGGTAGGCCTAAGCCTATACAGACAACACTAATTTCCCCCTAAATGTTACTCATGTAACAGCCGTCAGAAAGTGATAACATGTCCTAAAAAGTGAAATTTAGCCGAAAAATCCTGAAGCATTTACTTAGAAAACACTCAAGTTTTTCAGACAAGTCTCATAGGTTTGTGCACGGGGCATCAAGTGTTTAATATGGAACTCTCTCTAATCTTTGTTTTTATTTGTGCCTTAGGGGGCCTTTTTCAATGCTGACTTCACTTGAAATTTCAAACATTTTGAAATCGGAAATTAAGTAGAGGAGCTAGAGCATGTTGAAAAGACAAAATTCAATCACAATTTCCTGTTGAAGAAAATGAGTTCCCAAATGAACAGTGCCCTCGCTCATTAATGCGTGTCCCTAGCTACATGTATCGTCCAGATTGTCGTGTCAAGTGTGCAATTCAGTGTGTACATGTACGGGAAGTTGCAGTTTCTGAGGTCAAACATTGTCAAATATGACTGACATTGACAGCACTCACAGCTGGGCAGGGTAGACCAAGTAGACAGTTGAAGAGGGATTGGGTTTGGGACGGAGGTTTTTTTCCACCTCAGTTTATGAAACGAAATATTTGGATGGGCATATAAACAAATTCAATTGGTATAGTGTAGCTTATTTTCATACTATACTACAATTGAGTTTCATTCAAGTGTCCAAAAAAAGCGACATTTCTGTGTAATCCTGTCATTTGTTTTAATTGCTTCTTTCAAGTTAGCTAAATTAATTTGGCTATGCATAGGGAAGAATTACTTGTCATTGTGTCAAGGATTTGTGTACAGACAGCCCTGTTTCCACTCATGACAGTCATTCCGCATTATTATGCTGTTGCCATAGGAACCTGGACGGTTGCTGTGCCAAGCCTGCACGCTGGTTCCCCTCCAGGAAGAGCTGCTGGTAACGAAAGTCTGCCAGCTGATTGTCATCATCACCCACCAGAAGGTTTCGCTCAGCCAGGCCACCGTGGAGACGCTACTGGAGTACGTCACCGCGGCAGTAAGACAATGCCAGCCTTGGATCCTACCTGAGGCGCTGCGAGCCCTCGGGGCGGTGGTGTATGAGAACGGCCCAAAATGTTCACAGGTAGAAAGCTACATGTAAATTCTCCCAATTTTCTTCAACGCACATGTGTAAATTGCTGTTAATAGGATAAACCTACGTGCAATTTGGACTGATACAGTGTACGGTCGGAATAAAAAGTGTGCTGTCAACCCCTTCTCTTTGTGCAAAGGCCCACAGCACGGGGCTAAAACTTACCGTCAATTTGTTTGTGTGGCTCAGTCAAGACCCCTTGGTTTGCATGCAAGTCCTGGAAATCCTCATGAATGTATTAGATTTTATTTGCCACATGGTACTGTTTCACTATGATCATGTATTGTCACTGTATACTTTATGGTAATTGGCAGCATTATGGATGAAATTATTGATTGCTTCCTTACAAAATTCTTCATGGTCTGTCGTCTTTGTTTTCCCATCTAGAACATGTTTTCCATGCAGAAATTTGAAAATGCCTTACAAAAACTTAACGTGTTTACACTGTGTCAGCCTTTAGAATGACGTAATTATTTCCTTCTAGTTTTTAAAGCACCTCTTGGGGACGAACCCACAAGGTTTGCTGCTGAAATTGATCAGTTCCACCGAGGACGATGTGAAACGGGCGGCAGTGCAGTGCATCGGTAATCTGTGTATGAGGTAAATAAACATCAGTGCTCATAGGAAAAGTTGAATTCTGATTATTAAACCCCAGATCATATGCTTGTCCAGGAATCATGAATTGAAAAAGTGATCCAAATTATTGATTGTCCAGCGCAAACTCTCTGATTTAAATAAAATGTTGTTAAATAGACCACCGGCATTACTCCCATTTGTAGGGAAGCAATTTTGTTATGAGGGGGGCAGGACCACTTTGGCCTTAGAGAACCCATTTCTTTCTAGGCCACTATGGCCAGTGATGAGGGTGCTAAGGACAAGTATGAAAAAGGGCAAAGTGCCAATCAGCAACAACACACTAGGCCTAAGCCAAGTTAACATTAAGATTCTAGCAGCTCTTCTCTTTTATCTGGGACTGCATAAAACTTAACAGGAAATTGCATCTTTCAGTTTCCTGGATCGTTTTATGTGATCCTCACAGGGTACTGCTTACCAATCACAGTGCTCTGTGGACTGACGATCATGTATTTTTGACAACTGATTTACAAAAAACTAGGCCATGATGAAGTTCATAAGAAAAGCAGTGTAAAATGTGCGATGTCTGTTTGTTGTACTGTACGGTATATTCCACACACGGTGTACAGCACCCTCGTGTCGTAGTTGTGTCACACACATGCCGGTAGCCGATGTTACTCCCTCTGGATTACGACGTACATGTACATGTACATCTATTTTCCAACGAGGGAGTTTACACAATTGAAGCAACTTCTTGAGTCTCTATTTTCATAGCCTTTAGTCAAGGCGCACATAGCGCCAGTGCACCGTGGATGCTCGGCCGGCTGGCAACATGAACTTGAAAAGACCAGTGCGAGTGCCACTCATGTTGGTGGTCTTCATTGTGCTAGCAGCGGAAGTGTGTGTCGCATGCCTAGATTAAAAAGCTAGCACCCTACTCGGTTTGTGTATGCACCGTACATGTACTTTGGCAGACCGCGCGCAAACGACCATGTACACTGTACAATGGCACTGCATTGAGTATTTTGGAATTATGCAGTTGCTGTCGCAGCAAGGTGAGGGCCAGGGTAAGTAATAGACATGTTTTTTACTCAGGCCGGTCGGTCCTGGGCAAAGAGCACTGTGGAGAATGTAGATGGATAACAATAAACTTTCAATTCCTGTTTTTCATGAAAAGGGCACAGTGGATAGTGTTATTTTCCAAGGGGCATCCTGGTAATTGAAAGGGCATCAATTTCAATGGCTTCCGTGGCCGTCGTGAAATTCCTTCCCTGCGTTTGACATGTCCCCCAGTAACCCTGGAGGAGAGAACAGGGAGTAAAGTGATTTTGAAGAGCAAGAAAAACTTTAAAATATAATGCCTGAGACATGCATGTAATTTACCAAAATTGGGATTATGTTGTAGAATAAGTAATACTGAACATTGTAAAACTCTAATGGATGTTTTTCCCTTGATAACTGGCTGAATGTAAATAGCGTACACAATCTGCAGATTCCCCTTGCTATAACAAAAGGCACCCTGCAGTACTCAGCCTCAACAAAATCAAAGAAGCAGTTTCCACTGCTGGCTTGCGCTGCATTTGTCATTGTCAATGTTAACAGTTCAAATTGCAGAAAATGGTACAATTCAAGAAGAGATACTCAGGTTGATTGTCAAAATTGCCACCGTGACAGGCATTTGGGGAATTTTTTAATTGCTCTTTTTTTTTCTTTTTTTTTTTTTAGAGATGAATCTGGTGATGTCATTGACTCTGAGTATCTGCAGACCAGCTATAATCAGATGCTAAGAGTGCTGCAGAGTCCTAAAGCACAGAGTACCGATGACTACAGCCACTTCAGGGTAAGGATCCCAAAGGGTGTCAGATGTCTTCCTCCCATACTCTGTTATATAGTTCTACCGATCGAAATGAGCCGCAAGTCACCAGAACCACTTTCAGCTGGCTGGCTGTATCTTCCCCAGCATGTATTGATTGGAACCCTGCAACATATTTTGCAAATGCAATATGCAGTTTGCATCAGGATACCAAACTGAGATGCATCAAAGCAAAAAGCCCATTCTAAAACAGAGTTACTGAAAAGCTGGACTCAACGCTCACGTTATTGGATCTGGTCACATACATGTACTTGTTTGGGGATAAGAGTAAAGACAGACTAGATCTGGACTTCGGTGATAGACATAGGGAAGTGATTGCCTGAAGTCTTGATTCATTATCTGACCTGTTTCTCCCTTTACTTCCAGCTTCTCCTGAGCACCTTGCGTGGTCTTCAGAATGTCCTCGCTGTCTGTAAAGATGTCCATAGTGACCAGCTTGGAGTCATTCTGGCAGCACTCAAGGTAGAGTCCTTATATAGGTGTCAGTTGCGTACTGCTACTGCGCATTCCAAAGTTTTCTGATTACAACTCTGAGATAGCTACAGGAGATAATAATTCACAGATTTATGGGAGGATGGTTTAATACCAAAGCTATAAAATTTGTTGTATGTCTTATTCAGTTTTTACTGTAAGTTTTCACCTTAAAATCTGTGTTTCAATCCACAGTGATTATTTTTTACTTGGTTCATTTTCCATTGAATTTGAAAATCCTTGGTCTACATTTTCTCCTGTATTTAAATTTGACTTTACGCGAGCATTTCTATTCAACATTTGATATGGAATCTTTATACCATTTCAACAGTCATACATGCTCTACGGTCTCCCAGGGGTCGGAACCAGCTTCATCATCCCACAGACCCTCTACCCGTCACCCCTCTACCAGGTTGATTCAGGCCCTTCCCCTTCAAAGCCCACAGACTCCACCCCCAGGAAACCCCCACCCAAGGGCGATTCATCGGGTGTTTCATCTTCAGGTGCCACCCCCCGACGACCCCACCAGCAAGAAAAGCCAGAGAAGAGCCAAGAGCTGGATGGGGAACTAGCGAAGGAAAGAGCGGTAGAGGAGGAGATTAGCTTGCGGCCGGGGGGCGGAGGAGGCGGGGGCTTGCTGCCGTTCACCCAGCCCCGGCCCCAGCCGGGAAAAAAGGGGAAGAAGAAGGGGAAAGGGAGGCAGGAGAAGGAAAAGGTCCCAACGCCGAGGAAGGGGCGGGACATTGGGCGGTATGGATCATCGCAGAGGGTAGAGCCATCCTCGGCATGCATCCCAGAGACTGGAAGGAATTCCAATGCACAGGTAAATTGGCCCTCTTGAAGTTCATCTCAGAAAGACAATGAATACATTTAGGTGTAAAAATGAGTGTCCTCAGATTGTTAAGAGATAGAGTTTGAACTCTTGGGATTTGGGAACGCGTCAGACTCCTCCTGTATGACAGCATGCAGATTGTGCCAGCAAATGAGATACAAATTTTGCGTGAATGAAGAATGGCGAAAATGTATCAAAATTTGAAATGTGAACATTCTCGAGTAAATTACCCCTGGGCTAACACTTCAATTTTGAATTAAATCAACTAATTAATCTCATCCTCAAAATCGCAAAATATATAAGCTCTTTGAAACAAGCATGTATTTATTTTTTTTCTTGACGTGTTCCCTCTCAGAGCTCTTACAATGTTGACCCCTCCGCCCTCTTCCCAGCCTGGGGGCGGGTCAGCAGCTCGGAGTCTGAGTATTCAGACACAGAGGGAGGGCAGGCATCCAAGCTAAGATCGGCGGCCTCCAAAGTCCGACAGGCTGCCCTGACGTGCCTTCACTGCATCATTAAGGTGAGCCGACCTTTCCTGGAGCAATCAGACTTTGGAGAATTTGAGAAACTTCTGCCCTCGTGCAATTTTGCATTGTAGTTAAAAACATACTTGGCCGTTGTCAGTAGGATGACAGCTCTTGCTCCGCATCATCCAGAAATTATGAAATTATTTCAATACTTAAGCTCAACTTTAAGCTCATGCTACAATGATAGTGCGAGCTTGGTACTGACCGTACCTACGAGGGCCCTGCTGAGCAAATGACCATAGAGGGATCCCAATACGACGCTTTTAGCATCGATCTGCGCACTTCCGCGTTTGAAAACGAGGCTGTATGTGTCGGTTTCAATTCTTAATACGATCAGACGATTGAAAGTAAGGAGTCAAGACACAAATACTTAAAAGTATCTTAAATTCAGACTTTTCAGGCTGCAAATTTCTGTGGAAGAGTCTATAAGGATGACTCGACACGTAAAATCAAAAGAAAAAAATAACGACAATTTACCGCGAACTAACGGACCTGCGATGGTCGTGTATCTTGTGCAGTGGGCGTGGTTAAAACTGAAGTGGTGTCACACTTGAGAACGGGATAGTGCATGTTCTGTGTCGACTCCGTGGGCGCGCGCGATGAAGTTCAACACAGAGAGCCTCGGTTTCAATGCGGATATGCACAGACGGCGCGAATATGAAATCCCTCTATAAATGACTTGTTGCTCAGTAGATAGCTCTTGTGTGGGGGGGGGCTCTAGGCACTCATCTGGCTCTGCAGCCGATGCTTGTGATGGTTGAAGAGAATGCATTGAGCAGTGATTGACAGTTTGAATCTTACAGTATGTATTTTTGTCCATCTTTAGAACACCGAGAAGAAGCATATCTTTGGCTACTGGTCAGCCTTCATCCCCGATACGCCCTCAGCCTCGGGGTCCTCCCAGTCATTTTCCCTCTTCACCAGCATGCTCAAGGACCCAGCCCCAAAGGTACGGCCTCATGAGAACACACCTCAGGCAATACACCGTTTCCCCCTTCCACCAACGCAGGGCTCTGGCTGTCAGTAGCCATGGTCAAAGGACCTCGGCTTTAATTCTGCATGATTGGTTGGAAAATATATGGTCTTTAGAACTGCATAAACAAGGAAGTGGCTCCAAAAGGGACGCTCAGATTTTATGAATATTGGCACTTATTTAAAACTTTCCAGTTGGGACCCTGAAGAAGCACTTCCCTACTAACGATTCAAAAGGTACGTCCCTACCATCTCTCGGAAGGTTACCCCCTCCTAACCCACATCAAGATCTAGTCTCAGTCCCCAATTTACATGTACCTCCCTACCCTATCGCCCCTTTCCCCTGCTGAAAGTTAACGCCCCACCAAACCTTGGCCCTTGAAGTACCTTTCTCCACTTGTTAATACCCAGATGTAGTCATTTCATCTTGTGAAAATTCTGAGATCAAGTTGTCCTGCCTACTAGAGAGGTCAATATTTAGAATGTCTGTCTGCATTTACAAATGCAGACAATAACAAAACCATTTGTTATTGATTTCTTGTCTTGTTATCAGGCCCGGGTTGGTAGTGTGGTCGTTTTGGCTGCTTTGGTGGACGGTTCCAAACAGTTCCTGGCAGCTGCAGATGATAGGTAGGTCATACAGCCTTCCAGGTCCAGTCTCTTGATTCTTTTGCCAACACACTTTGACTGTCTCAGGGGTGAGATTTCTCAGCATTTTAGCTGATTTCAGCTTTTATTGTTTTGGATTTCAGCTTTTTTTCCTCACTGGCTGTGTACAAAAGTGTAGGAGATTTTCACAGTTCAGCTTCTTTATACCTTTTTTCAGCTGTTTTCAACTTTTTATCATGAGTCAATCTCACCTCTGCTGTCTTGTGGCCACCAGGCAGTTTTGTGCCTCTAGCCTGTTAGGCAAGATCTTGACCATTATGTGGCCACTAGCCCATTTTGTTAACTGCCCTATTCCACTCTGTATAGAAGTATCTGCCCGCTGGCAAAGAAGATAGAGATTGATGGAAACCATTTCACTGGGCGTCCAGAGCCCACTTGGAGTCATTCCATCAGAAAGTGATTGCTCGTACTTAGTGCAGTCCATGCAACATGCGTATGGGTAATTCCAGAAATTAGGGATCCATTTTTTTTTTCATCTGACATATGATTTTGTAAGATCAGAAAACATTTTCTAATTCCCAAGAGTGACAAATTAGTGCTAGTGCAAAATACCTGCCAAACAAGTAAAATTAGTTTGAAATCAGTTCTGGTGATATTTCCATGTCAAATAACAAAGGTCGGATGTAACAGGGACACGAAAATGTCACACTTTTGGGCCCATCATTTCTGGAATTACCCATATAAACCTGTGCACATACACAGTTTGCCCTCAGCAAAGGGACGTCACTGCTACTCAAGAACAAGTTGACTCTTGTTCACAAACAGCGGAAATGTGGCCACCCTGGCCACTGATGTTTTGATTAACATGAAATTGCAGTGATTGGTTGTGACTGTTTATTCTTGTTTCTTTTTTCTCAGTGATCTGAAACATGCTGCCTTCACGCCATTCTCCCACACCCTGGCATCCACGATCAAGGAGATCCATCGCTGTCTAATCCTAGCTCTGATGGCCGAGAGCTTCTCCACGACGCTTACTCAGATAATCAAGGTCAGTAATTTCTGTGAATAAACATCTGAGCATCAAGCCCTGAGATGTTGGTTTACCGTTCACGTAGCAAGTTTGGCCATTCCCCGGTTTTAATGTGTAAATGAATCAATGCACGGTGAGTTGATCACAAAATACTCTTGTTCATCATAAATAACCAATCTGATAAATCAGTGTGAGGTTTTAGTCAGTTGTTGGTTTTACAGAAAGATTTTGTTCCATACGCACCCAGTAAAGATTTTTTGTGACCTGAATTGCCCAATCTGAATATTGTCGACCCACCTGTAATACCTGTTTCCTTCCATTAACATTCTGTGCACGTAGTGTCTGTCCATCTTGGTCCAGAACGTTCCCTATCACAAGCTGGCCCCAGGACTCCTGACTAAGATTGTCAAGGGAATCAAACCCTATTTTACTCACAGAGGTATGTAGAACTTGAACCTGGGTCACATGCCCCGTCCCCAGTTTATTCCAATCAACTCATGGAGAGCATCTGCTAACATAATGTCAGTGTTAAATTTTCCTTCTGATGTGCTCAGACAATAACGTGCGGACTGCCTGCCTGACCTGCATGGGAGCTGCCCTCTCCAACAGTGCCCCCCTCCCTGAAGTCACCGCCCTCTTGCAGTTGCCGGATTTCCTCGGAACGCTGGCCGTCCAGCCATCGGGGAGTGCCTCACAGACGGGTATCAATGCTCCCTCCTGGAGGACACCGGGTGGGGGTGAGAAGACCCTGGAGGGGTATGAGAGCCCTCGAGATGAAGACTACCAAGACAACGAGTCCTGGAGGAGGAAACAAGACGAGGATTCAGAGGAGGAGGATGCTAGAATTGGAGAGGATGCACAAGCCGTCGGTAAACCTCCAGCATCTTTTGGACATCACCGAGAAACACTGAAATCGGATCAGCAAGGTCAGCCTGTCTGCGATGTGGAATTGACCGCTGGAACTCTGGACACCCCATGTAGGGCCAGCATCAGCGGCCAGAAGCCATTAAGCACTGCGGCGCCATTGGATACATTTAAGGCCTTAACGATCCACTCTGACGAAAGGACTCCGGGATGTTCTCGGGATCAGTCTTCAGAGCAGCAAGGTGGGGGTTTAAACCACCATCCCCCTCGGGGTCAGCTGGAGGGTGCGTCGGCTTCAGGGCTAGGCGGGACTGGAGATCCTTCCACTAAGCAGCCTTGCAGGGATGGGAACCTAGCACCCCAGAATCTCCTAGAAGATGCTTCAGTGTCTTGGCTCGTCAAGTGGTGCACTGATGCTATCCTCAAGGATTCTACTGAGAACCCTGGTCCCATCAGTGCAGAGCTTTGCAGGTACACTGTGTTGACTATTGGACTCACATTGTCACTTGAATCCACAATGCAAAGTTTCAAAACCTTTCAGGAGTACTTAGTTGTAGAGTAAACAACCTAATGTTTAGGTTTTTCCATTCTTGTCCAGGCCTGGTGCTTGTCATGAGTAAGCACAGTACAAGCACCTGGGGTCCCCCGAGATGCATTAAAAGCACAAGCAGAAATGTGGTCAATGCATCTGGTAAAATTGTGAGCGATTTGGCCTTCTTCAAGTTGAAATCCCTTATTCACGTAAAATACATACTGCATCCTGTTTAAAAAAGAGCACTTGAGTAATACTTCTGTCTTGGTTCAGGCTGCAGACACCCAATGAAGCCCTACCAGTGAGGTTGGAGGCCTTGCAGGTCATGACCCAGCTGGTCAAAGGTTACTTCCCCATTGTCCGTGACATCTTGGATCACATCTGCACCATTGTAGTCAGTTGTCTTGGTGAGGTGGATTCCTCTGTCCAGTTGCATGGCCTCAAGGTAAGCACAAGAGAATTATACATTTTTAAAAAATTGATGAGGTGTAAGTATACATTGAAACACGCCACGTAAATGAGCTTCAGCTGAAGCCTGACACCTGAACATGAGAATTGTTTTGTCAGTTTGGAAAAATCTGCAGGTGTCAGATTTGTGGATCTAAACTATAATTTCTTATCATTCAGATCAGTCTTTGTTAAAGTACTGAATTCAGCTATTACCCACCTGGAAAAACCAAAGAAACCCAAGTATACCCATTTTGGAACACCAGTGCCCAGTTGAGAATACCTGAAAGTGCTCCTTTTAATAGGAGCAAGTGGTGCTCCCAACTAGGAATGTTTACTCCCTGTCTGCTGACTGAGAAATGAGCTACATTCTGATTTGACATTTTGAAAGGAAAAATATTTCTGTTAAAGGGTTTCCTTATACAAGGATTTTGCACAGGAAAAATGGAAAATTCTTTTCCGTTCGAAGCAAACAAGGTTAATATCAAATCCTAGTTAAGCCCCAATCTAGCACATCGGCTGTTACCTGGTAAACTTTGTCTCATTCCTAAAACGTTGGGCAAAAAATTGACACCACAAGAGCTCGACTACAATTGCTCCTGAAAAATGTTTTTATACTATAAGCAGAAATTCCTCCTGGTCACTGGTTCACTATAATTCTTCCCAGGTTCTTGAGGAGCTTGGCAAGGCCATGCTGTCTCAGCTAAGCCCAGAATTGGAATCTCCAACAAGCCAGCTTGCTGTTCCACTCTCTCCAGAGGAGGTAGGCAACTTCTGGGAGGATTGTTCCCTAGGAAAATTGTGCTCCTTGAAAGTATAAACCCCCTCATTGCCGATAAACTGCTGAGATTTTGTACCTGTTGTAACTTGAGAACGTTTATGCAATCATGTTCAATCAAAATTCAGTTTGAGATTTTGTTTGGAGTTGTATGCACTGGCTAAACAAAATTTAAATTGTCTCCTGGCTGTTTGGAAAATTGTTGGGCATGATTTTAACTTCTGGAAGCAAGTTGAAAATATTGCTTCAACAGTTTTCAAGGATGTCATTTGCTGGTGTATTAGCTTCATGAGAATGGGCTGGGACTGGTGAAACTTTAAAACCTTCAGCTGTCCTGTAACATGTGTAAGGGCTGTCATGTATGAGCTTTGTTTTTGTTTATTCGTTCAAAATGACATTCTCATCCTCAGAGGGGTCTGGGGTTTTTGTCCTTTCGGATGTTGGCTTGCATTTCAGTCTTTCAATGAATTTCTTCAGTTGCTCTTGGTTGACCCTCGTTTTTTGGCAGGTTGTGTTGTTGTGGGATAGACTTCTAATTGGTCCGCTGCCAGCCATACTGCAAAATTCGGCCAATAGCGTTCTCCAGTCGTCTGCATGTTATTGCTTGTCTACAATTGGATCACAGTGCTTTGAACTGCTAAAGGTATTAATCACTGGCTTGTGATTTATGCAGTGTAGTGTGTGGTGTTTGCCATGTTTGTTAGTATTTGATGCCCGTTTTCTTAAAGTTTAAAATTCAGGACCTCATCCCTTTCTAGGTTTAGAATTAAGAAAACTTGTAATTTGAAGACTTCAATCTTCAACATAACATTCCTTCTCAGTCCTGTGTCCTCCAGTTTTAGGAGAATCCAGCACAGATAGGGTCATGTCCCACGTCATGTTATTCTTATTTCATGAAGCTTGTTAAAAAAATCCTCAATGATTGATGAATATTGCTGTGTGTACATGCCTTCATGAATACTCTGCAATCCATCCCAGGAGGAAAACCAGTCATTGTCAAATTCGGACATCAATTCTATTATGCAAACTTGTAGATCTCGTTTTGTTCCTCTACACTGAATTCTTAAAAGTCTCGCGAGACCAATACAGGATTTTAGGCACGTTTTTAGCGTAGTCAGATCAAAGGTATCACTGTTAATTCTGATCTCTCCACGGCGGCAGATGGGCAAGCAAGTTCTCTGCATTACCCTCCTCTTGGGTCTCACCAACGAGGAGGACTACCGAGTCAAAGCAGCGGCAGTCAGGGCCCTGGGAGCATACGTCCTCTATCCCTGCCTCAGGGAGGTAAGGTTCATATCTCTAATTAATTATGAAGGTTTCTTATTGGTAGGTATTGTAGGTTATTTCCTTCTATTAGAACCAAGATTTTATTTTCTTGGTTCAACAAAAGTTCTGCACGCTTTATATTGTTTTTGTTTATAAGAGGACTCGACGGCACAAATTAATACATCTGCTATTGTAGCTTTATGGCGAATTCCATTCTCTTCATTACCCTACTCTCTTTAGCGCATTCCTCTTGTTTTAATACGGTGCCCTTTTGTGCGCATTCTGTTCCAAGTTGTTTCTACACACGCAGTTAGTCTCCGTTGAACTGATGCTCGGAGCTTGTGGCAGGGAAGAATGAACATTGCCTTGAAGGGAATCTTGGTCGAAAGATTCCCCTCCCCAAATTATTTATTTTCAAGTATTTCAAGTCATGAACCATGGAGTCCTCAAAAGCAGCGAAGGCATTGTAGCGGAAATGGTGACTGAATGAGGATCTTTTTGTACCTTGGCCAGGATGTAATGTTTGTTGCTGATACAGCCAATGCAATCTTGACATGCCTGGAAGATCCGTCCGTCAATGTCCGCATACGCGCAGCCTGGTCCATCGGTAACCTCAGCGATGCACTCATCGCTAACAAGTAAGTCAATAGTCACACACCGGTATCTAAATCTTATTTTATCGTAATCTCATCTCGGTAGCCTGAAAAGCTCTAAAATATTTCAAAAAAGTATGAGGACTTGATGTTTCGATCCTAATGGAGTCTTTCTCAGGCTCTGAGAAAGATTCTGCTGGGATCGAAACGTCAGGCCCCCCTAATATTTTGATTTGTATTTTAGGTCACTGATTTCAACCAGCGGTTTGCTGCGGTTTTTGTATTATGTATGTTGTCCAAAAAGTCTCCGAGCATTTTTGTTGTTGTTGCCATGACAACCCCTCTCCTGGACGTTTCATGAATTTCTCTTCATCCAGCCATTTTCACACCTGGCAGTGCCACTGTGGTGACTGACTACTTCAGACTTTAAGGCCCAGTACCCCTGGGATCTTGTTGACCGGTTAGATCTTGTTACAGACCGCAGTGACATTTAGGTTTCTTACCCGTTGGGTTAGGCTTTGTCCTTAGGACTGGAAAGTTGTGCACCTGTGGTCCGTGTGTAAGCTTTAATTTTCGAAATGGTAGTAGAAACTTTAAACAGGTATCACAAACTTATGATTGGAGTCACCTGAAAAATGCATAACCTGAAGTGCACAGGACCTGGTATTTCAATTCAGTTTTGAGTTGAAAAGTAAGATCCTCTTCTCGTTTGATTTTTATCACAAAACAAGGCAGTTTGTATAACACTTTCAAAAAGCATCACTTAGGGGAAAGAAAATTACTTTTAAATTTGCTGACATTTTTTATATACCAGCCCTGACGGTTTTGGCATATGCTGCATTCGTCTGATAAAAAAAGAATTGTCATTGTTTTATTGTCCGTATCCCAACTAGGATAAGTCTATTGATTCCCATAAGCTGCATTGTGGTATCCCAATGTGGAGAGGTTGTTGATGGAAAAGACACCCCATGTCTGACAGTTGAGGTGTATTGTGATTTCCCAGTTGAGATTACATGCTAAGTAAGCTAGTACGGGAGTCAGGTTGGCAAGGTAGTTCTTTCCTTGCCTTCCACCTCTGTGGTCCCGGGTTCGATTCCCGGCCCGGTCCACATGTGGATTAGGTTTTCAGTCCCTACCTGACTCCGTGGGTTTTACCCAGAATATTCCTCTGGGGTTTCCCTCCCACCTCTAAAACTGTAACTGCTTCTTACTGTCTCCCCTTTACTGATGTTGGTGAATGTGGATTGTTTGATGGCTGCCCGAGGCACCCGTGTATGCCATCAGCTCAACCATGTTTAAACGTATTCATTGTTCCACCCTTAAGTCTTCATTGTACAGCGCATTTGAACATATCTATGTGAAATTTGTGCTTTATAAATGAATAAATTATCATTATAAGCTCAACTGATCCTTTAACTTTCAATGAGCTGTGGTATCAAAGCATTACAAATAGACAGACCGACAGAGTGTTGCTTTTTGAAATGAATACTGATCCTATCTGAAGTTGTATGTCTGAAATCTTAAGCCCGCTGCTATTGTTTTACATGCATGCATCCATTGTGATACCTTGCAATATCCCAATTGGGATCGTATCATAACTGATAATGACCGTTTCCCTGCATATCTGTTAAGTATTAAAGTGTGCTTTTGCACTTGGCTAATGCCGCGCACAAAATTTATGGTGTGTACATGCCAAAGTCGACCTGCTGTCAGAAAAGGTTCGGAAAGCCACATCCTGTATGCTAGTACATTGTGCGTGCTCGGAAGCGTCACCCCCCTCAACAGTAAATTGTTGCTGTACTCGTCTTGTCCACGAAAGCCATCCCCTGTTGGAGCCATTAATAATGCTCTGCAAATCCAAAGGTGAACTGGAGCAGATCAAATGGGCTTGCCTGCATGCAGTCACTGCACTGCCGACACCTGTTGTAGTGTCAGGTTTAATCCAGACATTTCATAAATCACTCCTTCTCTAACGGGTTCATCCCGGACACTGAAAGAGTCAGCTGCCGTATTTTGTTGCGGCCGCCCTGATGCATTATTCACGGGCAATCACTCAAATTACCTGCCCAATTCTTACGGTATTCCCAGGCCCCTCTCAAACATGAACCGCAAGAGCTGCTAGAGTTACCCGCTGCCTGTAACCCTCCCGGGATTGGTCCCGCTTATGTAGCATCTACTTGGCCTACATCTTGTGGTTGGAGTGCCCCATGTCAGTATAGTTAGTGTCTGGACACGTGGCTCGTGTGCACCAGATCAGAGGTGATTCCAGCAGATGGTATCTTGGGAGGACTGTCAGACAACTGACAATGTATCACGATCAACATATCAGGGACGCGACACGTTCGTAATGACTGATATTACATTTCAGCATTTGACAGACATTCTGGGAGCTTGAAGAAGACTCGGGGAATTGTTAGCTGGCAAAGTGAGATGTGCATTTAGGGATTTACCGTAAATTCAGATGAGAGTGTTTCACACACATGAATAAACCCCAGAGATTGTACTGTATATATACAGTCACTTAAAACACAAGTGCTGAATTGAAAAAGCCTGAGCTGAATAGACGCTCAAGTTGAAAGTGAAGAAATCACCAGACTTTGTTTCAACAAGATTTTGTAGCCCCACTTCTGCAACAGCAGAAACCTGAGTCAAATCAGAAAAACGAAGAGATTACCAGAAATTTGACATCAAGGATTTTTTGGCTTGATATTTGTCAGGCCTACATGTACCTATTCACTCACATCACCAAAAACTATTTCATTTGAAAATTCTTTCTTGCCCTTGGGATTTGTAGAGTTCTACAGACATACAGTCTTCCAGTCATTAGTTGAAATTTAAAACTTCAATTTGGCCCCCACCCGCCTTTAAGAAGAATAACAAGATTTTGACACCCCGATTGTGACTCGTCTTAACCTCCTTGTTTACCTCCTTGTCCAGCCTCTTGTACCTCTAGGTACATGATGATGATGAACTATGTGCCATGGATATTTATTCCATGGAATGATTGCAAATCACACTAGGGACTGTGCTTTGACGTGCATACCTAATTTCACCTCGGTGTTGCAGTTATCGCTGAATTTATAACCCGTGCCAGAAGTTGCCAACCGTCTGGCATATATTTGGCCGGACCCTGATGTTATTGCTCTCTGATAAGGACCCTTGGGAAATACTTCAGGACTTGGCTGCTCTCTCCCTTGCCTTCAGATAATCGCTGAGTTGGCTTTCCGGCTGATGCACCGCCCTGTATGGATTAAAGAGTGTTTTCCGGAAACTGAAGCTCAAATTGTAGTGTTCTGCCTGCTTTGCTTAACCAAGACAGCCTCATTAAAGCGGATGCCGTAATGTTTCACTCAGCCAGCTTGAAAGAAACAAAATGGTTTGTCCTCATCTTGTTACCATGTCACAACAATGTAGCAATTGAGGAAGGTTTTCACTGTAACTCCTGTCATTAGTTTGCTTACATTAAAATGCCGTTAATCATAAGAATTGAAATATTTTCACCTACAAGTAATGCTGTAATGCTGGTCTCATAGTGAGTTTTGTACATAATGGTCAATGGTATGTGTTTTACAGAATTAATTGAAGCTTTATCGTGGAATATTTGTTGTAGCTAATATTTTGGTGGCGTGAGCTTTGTAAAGGAAGGACTCTATTATTTTAGTTTAGGTTTTTGAGAGTTTGTTCTCTAGCATGTAAAATTCATGATATTTTGAAGCTTATTTTCCAGAGTTGTATCATTACAATTCAGAGTTGATTTTACCGGGAATGTATTTAAATGTCTGTTGATTCATTTTTGTTAAATTTAAAAATAAAATGTTCTGTCCAGATTTCTACATTAGTGACATACTCAACCGTAGTACCATTGGCAGTATTTCCAATGAGAGTGCAGTGTCCAGTTCTGTGTTTCCCAGAAGCCCTTTTGAAAGGGAACTAATGCACAAGTGTTTTCTCGGTATCATTTCTGGGCTGTCCAACCTTTGTAATGTCATGAGGTCTAGTTGATCATTTGCTGAAGAATCCTTGATGGCTGCCAGGCGAAAGCTCTTATTCCTCCGTAACTTTTTTCTGTATCTGTTGACTTTCTCTGTAATAAGTCCCATTATTTTGCCCTTCTTGTCTCAGAGATGCGGGCGATTCCACTTTCTTAGAGGGATTCTCAGACATGCTCCTTCAGAAGCTGTTTACGGCAGCCATCACTGGGGCATCGGATCACGACAAAGTCAAGTCCAATGCCGTGCGAGCCTTGGGAATGCTTGTACGCTTCGCAAGACCCCAAGCTTTGGGTGAGTGACGATAGGCATGACAAAGCCAAATCAGGTAATTTCAAGAAATCTTTGCCTGACTGGGACATATTCCTCAAGAGGCGTTTTAAGGAATTGACATTTATGGTTGAGTTGTCAGTGGTCTTCTGGGCCTTATAATCACGTCTATGCATTATTGTGAAGGACAGACTTGCACAAACTACAGCAGAAAGTAAGCGTACATAAATCACTGGTCAGCTATGAATTTTGGTTAAATGCAGCTGTGTGCATCCTGAACTATGGATTTGGCATTGAATTTGTCAGTGCTAGTGGAATTTTCTTTGGTTAGTAGTGCCAGAGAGTCCAGTTGCAAGAGGTTTGGTAAATATCAAAATTTGTATGGCAGAGGAAACCCTGCACAAACAGTGGCATGTTTTGTGCTGTTTTGGTGTTTTAAGTTGATACATCTTTTTGATTTGTTTGTATATTGACTCTTGAAATTTCTTTTTTTTGTTTCCATGAACAAACAGCCAAAAGCAGCATTCAGACTGTTGTCACTGATGCCATCAAGGCTTTACTGAAGAACATCACTACAGCAGCTGCTATCAGAGTTAAGGTGAACCCTCCCTTGTGGGATAAGTTTGTCGACATGTCCAAACATCTGAAATCGTTTAAAAAAAAAGGATAGAAAAATGATCCTCCGATATTTTATCCGCCCCGAGCTGAAGTGCACTCCCAATCAGCGAAAGAAAGACAGGGGGTTACAAGCGGGTTCTTGCACGCATTCTGCGTGTACGCAAAGACCATACAAGCCGTAATAAATCAGCCACACGTACTCGGTGTGCTCTGCATCAAATGCGCATATACTTGTGCACCTCAGGGCGTGGCTGTGCAGTGAGTACCCCCCCCAAAAACATGCCCTCTGTTGTTCTGCTCGGAGCGGATATTGCTGCTAATGTTACTTTTGTTAATAAAAGTGTTCTCTGTGGGGATGGCCATCAAGGTCAAGGTTACGTCTCTGTTGGTAGATAGGTTTATTGACATACTTTCAAAAGACATCTAAAAAATGAAAATAGTTTGACATTTTTGCATAGTTCTTCATCTGATATTGTTTTTGGAGAGTCCTTTAAGAGCTTTAATGCGACATAATTCCAAATTGAATAAGTCACATGCATAAGTATGTTTGTAAAACTCAGGTGAATATGCCTTAGCTTTATAATGTACGCTCACAGTATGACACAGTCAGGAGGTACATGTGTATTAGGCAGTATTGCACATGTACCAGTAATTGGAACCATGACAATACAAGACGCAAGGCCAGACACAAGACAACTAGTCACAAGGGAATTCAATCAAATAGCTTGTGACTTGGATTCAGACTGGAGGTCTTGTGTGCTTTTGTAGGGTCTTGAGGGGTTTCGACTGCAGTGTTCACCGATATCGAGCACTAAGTAAAGTCACAGGTAAAAAACTGAACTCATGATTGTCGGGACTGAGTATCAGTCTGTGACAAGTCAGCATTTTGTTTCTTACAGCATCACTGAGTTGGATGAAATGTGACTTGTCCGTCTTCCGAACGAGAAGAAATCCTCGTTAGTACGGTCACTTCTGCACATGAGTCTCTCTGAAAAATGCATGGATGGTGCCACAGTAGTAGATTAATTGGAGGAAGGTTTCTTTGTAAATCAGCCTTAGGATTTAAAGTTACAGCATTTTTTCCTGGCCAATTCTTTGACCTTTTGAGAAGGTCTGTGGTTCTGATTTGGCACTCAACTGGTGCACTTTTGTCCTGCATGATGCATACAGGTGCGATGGAATGCATGTTATGCTATGAGCAATGTCTTCAAGAACACCCATCTTGAGTTGGGTACAGCACCGTGGTCGACAGAGGTCTTCACCGCCCTCACTGATGTGGTCAGGGACTGCAAGAACTTTAAGGTAAGACAAACATACGTGTATGATATGCTTTGAGCGATGTTTTCAAGAACACCCATCTTGAGTTGGGTACAGCACCGTGGTCGACAGAGGTCTTCGCTGCCCTCACTGATGTACTCAGGGGATCGCAAAAAATTCAAGGTAAGACAAACATGCGTGCAACTTTTCTAAACAAAATCTCTCATGTTTATATCTTTAGGAAAAAACTGACAAACCATTTGGATCTGATTTTCATACTGTTTGGGGGAGAGTAAACTAACGGGGAATGTTTTAATGAAATTTAAAATTTGGAGTGGAGGAATTCCTTTTAAATTTGAAAACATTGGGAAGTGTCACACAGTATAGATTTAACATCATTAAACAATTTTGAGACAATTGTAATAATAGTGGCTATTCGTATAGCGCACATTCCATCAATTCTGATGCTCATGGCAACGTAAACAAAAGAAATGGCAATCTGTAAATGAAGCAAGAGTTTTGAAAGGCTTGACAGAGATTCTCTCCTTTTTACTATAAATTGCCACTTAATGCGTGTATGATGTATTTATTATTATTCCAAGATTAAATTTACTTTATTTGCAAACTCAGACTGACTTACTGAAAGTGTGGATATATATAAATATTGCCGTTGAAATTGAAATAGGGGATACGGGGTGCTATACCTCCCCTGGCATGCTTGCTCCCATTGTAGCTCCCTTGTAAAATCAAAATGTGTTAGTCCGATTACCAAATATTCTGACGCTACATTGGCCTTAGTGAGTTTATGTGTCAGATTATAATTGATTGCAATAAAGAAGTAATGGTTTGGAATGATGTAGAAATCTACCGTATTTGGTTACAGTCAGGTTTCCAAATTTCAAATAATTCTCATTATTTTTAGTAATAAACCGATTCACCCTAAAAGCCCCTTTTTTCACTAACATCCAATTTTTCCAAACCCAAGCTACAGAATTTCTAAATCTTTAAAACTTTAAGGATTTAGGGAGAGAACAAAATAGAACAAAATCTACAGTCAGACCTCATTAATAAGAGCTCTGTTAGAATAACATTCTGCTTATAACAGGCAAATTTTTAGGTCTTGATCCTTTTTTCCTCATTACTTTCATTCCTGATGGTACAAGGTTCCTGTTAGAACAAAGTATTAACCAGCAGCAAAATCTGAAGGAAGTCTCATTTGTGACCGCCCCCACAAAAATGGGTATTATGGGACATTTTATCAAAACGAGTTACCTACACATTTGAATTGGTTACTTTCTTTCTAAGGTTTAATTTGGTGCAGATTTGAACCCTGTGGCATTCTGCAATCTGGAGATCTAATAAACTGATTTTTGCGTAATCATATCATACACATTAACAATTGTTTTCAGAGATAAAGCCCTTTAAACACAGGAAATAGAAAAAGAAATCAGCCAAGAAGGAAGTCTCTTGATACCCACACTGTTAGGTTTCTGGGGGTGAATTGTGAAAGTACTGATATAATAGAAGCCAATAAACCAAGAAGTAAAAATCACCCTGCCCACATACAAAAGCTCTTAGTGTGAAATAGCACCGTGTCCCTTAATACCCTTTTTCATAGAGCGGATCACATTTATGAGACTTGACTCTATACAATTTAATACTTTCTTTATTTCACAGATTAGTAGCATCCTGATATTGTTAACATTGAACGTTTCCTCATGGTCTGCAAAGTTCTAGCTGATTTTGAAAAACCACATCACTAACTGTATGTGTCAGACTTTACTCTCGATAAATCTGAATCATCTTTGCCCAATTCACACTTCAATTCCTGCAAGGTATTTTTTTCCACGGACTTGTTGGGGACTGTTTGTTGTACTCTGAAATGCCCCGGTATTAAAACCCACCACCACAGCTGCCAAAAATTAGGTCAGAGATCAAAACGAGAATTTCAAATCGCCATTCCAAAAGCAGGTACTGATTTGCATTCTTCCTGATTAATTAGACCTCGTGTAATTGTCAGAAATTGCATCTAGTGGACAGCCAGTGCTCTTTGCTCCAACTGAGGCTGTCTGATTGCCTCTACTTTTTGTGCGCATTGTACAAGGGGTTGATACTGGTATGTCATTTGTCATGCCGTGAATAATCTTATATACATGAATACATATATATGCCAGTCCAACAGAGTGTTTGGATGAACAAAGTCACAAACTTCAGGGGCAAAATAGGAGGTACAGCGCAATAATTATTTATGAAATGCCAGTATTGTAAATGAAATCATTCGATTTACGTGTATGGCGGAAATCAAACCAAAAGGGAGAATTTCTTATTCTCATCAATCAAAGACATGCACACCACAAGTTCATAAGTGCATATTTAACTTGTACCGTATAGTGCTTCCAACTTGTTAGTAATAGTTTTTACTCTGTAAATGCCTCCTTATCAGGGGCACCTTCAGGACTCGTAGTTAAGATTTTCCAAAAGTTTGTCACAAAATGAATTTCTATTTTTAGTTGGAGACTGCAAGATGTTAAAAGCAATATACCCAGTAAATGCACAACAAACACATGCACACTACTTTTTGGTCAACAAAACTAACAATATTGCAGAGTTCACAAAATAGCCACAACAAAGACAACCCTTTGTAATTGAACAAAGGCAAGGGAGACTGGTTTGAGATGCCCCTGTAAACTCTGGGGACTGTTTTCAACCTCCTCTGAAGGAGAGGAAGGAATTATTTCTTCTCTTTTTGTACAAGTATCCTCAATCTTAATGTGATACGCCGTTCTTAAGGCCTTTGCTTCTGGGCTGAGGTTCAGTGCGGATACCGATAGTATTTTTGCTACATGGTCTTTAAAATACAACAACGGGTTAACGTGCGATGCACATTTCATTTGGATAGCTGGCAACTTCTTTTGATACATGTAGGCTTTGGATTGCTGGTGAGGACATAACTGCATCACCATTAGACATGGCGGCAAAGTGCCACTGAACTTTCTTCCACCACTACCAGATCACTGTTTGGCGCTAGAGCGAGAGACCGTGCATGTTTAAATCCCTTGATGACACGTCCCATGTATGTGCCCTTGGGATCGAAATAATGAATTTCATCTGATTCACACAAGCAATGTATTACAACATAGATGTTTCCATCCTTGTCATTACACACTCCTCTAGCACTGCCCTTTCTATCAATGGTGCTTATGTCAGTTGTGAATACCTCTCTGCCACTGTAGTCAATTGAGTGTAACTTGTGTGCCTTCTGGTCGGTGTAGATGAGGCGCTGCTTGTGGCTTGTCAAATAGTCACCAATTCCTGGTGACGAGAGTATCGTGATGAGGGTGCCGTCCAGGTTGTGAAGGGAAATCTCTTCCTCCTTCTCATAACCAACTGCTATTAGATTGTTGTCGTCCACTGCCAGACATGTCGGGTGGCTGTTTGGCCTCCTGCAAATACCAGGCTTGAAGTCACTGAAGCGATGGTATTCCCTGTTGAAGGTCTTGATGAATGGACCGACCAATACCACCAATAGGTCGGCCTTGTTCACCGCTACTCGCCTTGGTTTACGCACACCAGGAATCTTGAGCTCCTTTGAGACGGCAGGAGACTGAAGTGTCTTGGGTAAGAAACCGATCAAATGTTTGCGCTTTTCATCGAGAATGACCACTTCATTGTTCGAAAAAACTGCTACATCAGACGCCATTTCAAACTTTGTCTTGTTCTCTCCAAATTTGTGTATTTCCGTCTTTTTTTGACACCTCTTCATCTCATTTGAAGGCCCTTGGCTTGACAGTTCTGCAGCTTGGGCACTGAGTATTGGTTTTTGATCATCTTCAGAAACACTTACCAGCCTCCCAATGGGAAATATCATGTCATTGCCTTCAAAGTCAAGGAAAGACGACCCTTCAGGCACCATGCATGCCGTCTTTGCTGTCAGTTCTTTGAAGTTGTGCACTAGTTTCGGCTTCAGATCCAGTATCTCGTGGCAGCTTGCCTGATCTATGACACCTTTCATCTCATCCAGCTTTTGCTCTGCATGGCTCGCTTCTTTGCTATTGGTTGCTTGAGCTGTTTCCAGTGTCATGACCCTGACTTTGTAGATGCCCTCTGCTTTCTCCTTCAACACATGACCCTCCTCGTACATCCTGGCCACCCTGTCACGAATCTTTTGATCTATTTTGTATTTGGTTTCAGCAAACACCCTATCCAGTGCTTTCCTCATGTTCTTGACTCCCTCTGTTGCAGCTACTAATTCCCTTTTTTTCAGTTCAGCTTTAGCAGTTAGTGCAGCAATTTCGCATTTGCACCTACCCCAGGCCTCAGTTTGTCCACTGAGGGAGTGCTTGGCGTGGTCTAGAACAGAGCAGGTTGTGCAGGCAAGCTGCTCGCATGTGTTGCAGTAGATGGTGACATTCTGGTCTGGATGCTTACCACATTTTGGAACCTGCTCTCTGAGTTTACTCCTGTAAGAGATCTCACCTGATCGTAGCTTCTCCAGTGTGTTCACCACATGATGTTTCATCTTAGCCATTCGTCCATGTGCCTTATTACACTCCAGACACAAGAAATTATTACAGTCACTGCATCTAGAGATGGCTTCATTTTCTTCCTCACAGTTCTGACATTTGATCTCTGACCCTTGACCTTTGAGAAGTTGTTCTTGCATGGTGAATTCGTCCACCAAGGCCCCCAGTGTGAAGTTATTAGGCAGTGCAGCAACATCATTTCTTTTCAGCTGGGTATCACGTCTGCAGAGAGGACATGTTAGCTTGGTGCCACCTGTTTTCTGATGTTGTCTGAGCTCTTGGAGGCATTTTAGGCAGAAACTGTGCAAGCAGTCGAGCATTTTAGGCTCCTTGAAGCAACAGGAGCAGATGGAACATTCTAGATGATCCTGGCTAATCTTGCTCAGGACGGATTGGACTGTGACATTGGATGCCATATCTGTGGAAGTGCATATGCTCACACATTATGTACAAGAAACAACATCATGGTGAAGCTAAAACTCAGATGTTAGAATTTGATGCCGCCTCTGTCAATCTGGATTCAACTCAAAACTCCCTGTTTGAGGCAGTATCGTTTCCTTTAAGGCCGGTTCATACTGATGAACATAAAGCCAATTTACTCTTGGAATTGTTTGCATTGGTGTAAAACACACTGAGAGTCTGTCATATTCTGTAATCCTCTATCTTAATAGGTCACATTATTATTGCTACTAAAGTTAACCCAAGGTCAAACTGTGTTAGTCGCACAGATGCAACAAATATTCATTGTGACGTGTCAGATTCCTGGAACCAGCCATTGCAAGGATGAGATCTTACAGACTACACACGATTGATGTTTAGGAAGAAGATTCAAAGAAACCACGATCTAAGTATTGGACGAGGGGTATTTTTTCTCCTGAAACTATATAAATTTAAGAAACTGGTCTTACTCAGGTTTGTAGATATCCTGTGCATAAGCAGATTGAGGATGGAAGTACACGCACCAGTGTCTTGAGTGTCTGGCTGAAGTGAAGTAAGGTGACCCGCTGGAGGTTTCCAGCAAAGCAGTCGGATATTACACTGACGCTGGTAACTTAAAAGTCCAACTGGCACATACATGTTCATGCAGCACTCTTTGAAGGGTCGAGTGTATGACTCACTCTTGATCATGTCACAGGCAGGATATTGCGTGCTGTACACTGTTGCAATAACAGGAGGCTGAATGTGACTTCATGTGTTGTTGCTGTTTTAGCCCAATGACATTGGCAAAGTTATCGTACATGTAGGAGGATTCTCAAGCCCCCCTCCATTGTGTAGCCTTTTTTACTTTTCTTTAAAAGTTGTTTTCCATGTTCCACAAAATCATTGATACTTGGCAGTTTGCCCTGGAGAGTGAACATGAGTTTTTTGACGTAAGTTCTTTTGAAAAACCACATAAACCACGCCCCTCCCAACTACATGTACAATATCAGTATAATTATAAAGGCTGGATGCTGGTGATGATTTGTGTAAGCAGGGGGGCCAGGTTTCATTGTTTATTCATAATTACCCAGGTTGGCTTGGCAATACTAAATGCTGAGTTTGGAATGACTGTTTACTGACATGGAACACCCACACAGTAATGGTGGAAACATCGTGTAGGATACGTGGCAGGCATTGTTCACAGTCAAGAATGCTATTTTATAAAGTACCGGTAACTAGCACCATACTTGAGTTTACTGTGATCTTTCACCTTATTGTCAGTCATGTACATTTTTGTCATTATCAGTTGTCTATAACCTTCTATGAAGTTTAAATTTAACAGAAGTTGTCGGGAAAAATCTCCCAAGGAAAGGCACTTTCTCCTTCACAAGTGGCTAGACTATTTGTGAGTGTGTGGGTTTGGGTGCGCTTGTACGTGGTGCCTTGTGAGGTGCCGGAACAATGGAAGGTACCCCACAAGGCCAGTTCTGATCCTTGTGGGGTATTAAAGTGGTACCCCACAAGAATTTTATGAAATAGATATTTCAAATTTACTCAAAAGGAGGAATTTTCAAGTGCCATTCATCTGTCGCAAAATGAAGTATTTTAAATAAGGGATGTTCACTCAAATTTCCAAAGTAGCAAAGTTAATCTGGTTCAGATGGGAGTGAATTAAAATTTTTGCGTGTTGTGTGGGAGTTTTGTAAACGAGAACTAAGGAAATACCCCACAAATATAGCTGTGTAAGAGTGGGTGTGTGGGCGAGGGTGTGTCTGTGTGCAAGGGCTGGGGGGGGGGCTGTGACCCACTGCTTACAGCTCTCCGTCCGTTGAGAGAGGGGTCCCCTAAACTTATATTTGTTGTGAATGAATGTCATCACTTCTCAGAAATCTTGTAGTTTTCAATCTTCTATTTATCCAGACACAATCACTCAAAAGAAAATCTGCTAGTAATACTGCAGAGAGTTGCCATTTTTCACATTGAGTAGATTTCTGTAAACAAAGAAACAGTTGCTAGTTTAGCTGCCTGTACCCAGCCTATTAGCTGCTTACTGATTCACTCCTAAGCACATCTTCCAGTGTACATGGAAAGCAGAGTCATAAGAAAGGGAACACCAACTTTAGAAAATGGAGGAAACAAACACGAAAACAAAAACACGTGCACAAAAAAGCTCTGTTTCTTATTTGGCACTCACTTGTCATTAAGTTTTGATAAGAAATTGTCTTTTATGGTCACTTGTGTTTGCTAATGTTTCAAAGTTGAGCCTGTTCATTTGATCAAAGAAAAGGCCCATTTGTTTGAAGGCACTCGTCAAAGAATCAGGTTTTATTGTCTGGGAATCAAACAGAAACGACATCTAAATTTTGAAATTCTCTCATGTTCCCCTGCATTACTGTCACAATTCTTTTAAGGCTAGTGTTTCCAAGAAAGTTTGATCCAAAGAGATTGGAAAGAGGAAAATGCCCCTCGGCTCCTGGCCCCCTAGTATCTTTGAAATTAATATGAAATTTAATTACTTCATTTAATAAAATGTCTTTCCTTTGACACCAAGTGATGAAAACCTACAGAGATAAGTGTTTTTCTTAACTAGGCTATCTAATAGTCATATTGGCGATCAATTTGTCACGGACAACAGTGAGCTATACATGCATAAATGAGATATCCTTTCATGGCTAGTAATGGCATCCCTTCAGAATAAACACACCACATGTGTGTGTTTGGCATCCCTTCAGGGTAGACACACCAAATGTGTGTGTTCTGTGTTTAATGAGTGCTTGGCATCCTATTTTCATTTAGAGTTAAGCTCGCATTGTGTAATTAAATACTGGATTTCGTATCCAGACAACAGCGTTCCTGTGTCAATTAGTTTTTCATGATTGTATTTGTTTTTAGGTAGTGATGCATTTCATTTCAAAAAAACGTTATCGTAAAAATATCACCAGCTTTGTCAACGCAGTAATTTTCCAATAAAAGAAAAGTAAAATATGCAGGAAGAGATATTGTATCTGACCTTGGCATGCCCAACTGTATGAATAAGTTGTAGGTTCTTGGTTTGAGTCAACTCAGAACCTGTAGGCATGCCATGTTACAAATTGAAAACACAAATTACAAACACAAACAGTTGTGTATTCTAAATAATTCTTCCCTTTAGTGTTTACATGTTTACTCTTAGCAGTATTCGATCTCGTATGGAAGACAAGCAAATTAATGGTTGCTTCTTGGTATCACTTTCCTTGGTCTGAACTAGATGTAGAGACATCTACACATTTCCCAAGGCATCGTTTCTGGGGTACCGGTATGGCGTCATAGTCTTGAGTTCAGGGCTGTGAAAATCTGCAGTTCAGTCTGGGTGCCTTTTTGGCCACAGGGCCAAGAAAGGAAGAAAAATGTCCGAAATGTGATACACAGTTCATTTGAATAGCTGGCAGCTTTAACATTATGCCTGGTGACTCTTGTTAGACTTTTGATTGCTTGTGGCGAGGGCCTATAACTGCATGATGGCTAGACATGGCGGCAGACTACAACTGAAGTTTCTTCTGCCACTACCAGGTCACCATTTGGGGCAAGAGTGATACCACGCACATGATCAAATCCCTTAATGACACGACCTATGTACTGGCCATCAGGACTAAACTGATGAATTTCATCCGATTCAGAAAACATTTGTATTGCAACATAAATGTTTCCATCTTTGTCACAGCACACACCTGCAGCCGAACTGTCCTCACTATCAGTGACATGAATATCAGTTGAAAATACCACTCTACCATAGTAGTCAATTGACTTCAATTTGTGCATGTCTCTGTCAGTGTAGATGAGGTGTTGCTTGTAGGTTGCCAAATAATCACCAATGCCAGGAGCAGACAATTTCTTGATGAAAGTTCCATCCCAATTATGTAGGAATATCTGTTCATTCTTCTCATAACCCACTGCTATCAGATTGTTATCATCCACTGCAAGACATGATGGGTATCTTTTGCTGTTCCTACCAGGTTTGAAGCGATTGAGGGGAGTGTAATCTCTCTCAAAGGTCTTGATGATAGGGCCAGCCATAACAATGAGTTCATCATCCTTGGTTACTGCTACACGCCTTGGATTATGGAGACCATCAATCTCAATTTCTTCTGAGACTGCTGGTGATTGGGGTGACTTTGGTAAGAAACTGATCAAGTTGTCACATGACAGATTGACTATGACCACTTCATTGTTGGAAAACACTGCTACATGAGATGCCCATTCAAACTTGGTAGGATGTTTTCCAAATTTGTGAATTTGGGCCTTCTTTTGACACCTTTTTGGCAGATGGGAAGGCACTTTGTTTGATGGTTTTACACTATGAAACTGCTCTCTGAGTTTACACCTGTGAGAGATCTCACCTGATCGTAGCTGCTCCAGCGTGTTCACTTTATGATGTTTTGTCTTAGCTGTTCGTCCATGTGCCTTATTGCACTCCAGACACAGGAAACTCTCACAGTCACTGCATCTAGAGATGGCATCCTTTCCCTCCTCACAGTTCTGACATTTGATCTCTGACCCTTGACCTTCAAGGAGCTGCTCTTGCATGGTGAATTCCTCCACCAGAGCTCCCAATGTAAAGTTATTAGGCAGAGTAGCAACATCATTTCCTTTCAGCTTGGTATCACATCTGCAGATAGGACATGTTAGCTTGGTACTACCTGTTGTCTGATATTGCCTGAGCTTTTGGAGGCATTTCAGGCAGAAACTGTGTAAGCAACTCAGCACTTTAGGTTCCTTGAAACGACAGGAGCAGATGGAACATTCCAGATGGTCCTTGCTGATCTTGGTCAAGACAGACTGGACTGTGACATTGGATGCCATATCTGTGGAGGTTCAAACATTAAAATGGCAGTTAGTCTTCTGAAAATGTTTTTGTAGGAATTTAACCCTGCTAATCTCACCTAAACACAGACAGATCAAAAATAAACTTTATGGAGCAATTGCTTGGTACAACTTAAATGCACATATATTTCCACAACTGCACACATGTTTGTGTGATATTATGGAATAATGTCGAATGTACATGTATACTTACAACAGCATCGTTTAGCAATAGAGCACAAACACGTTGGAGCTCAAAGATCAAAATTCTTCAAATGACTTCTTTCTCATTGCAGTATTTGTTGTGTTTTTTCTTAAAAGTCAAAATTACTAGGATTTTGGATCAAAACATTTAATCGGTAGCTAGCTGTAAAGCACTTGATGGAAGTACATGTAAGTGCAGTGAATAGTGCAGTGAAGATTCGGAATGATCTGAATGTTCCATTGGGCACACCAGCCATTCTGCTGGGAGTTCGTACTCCCAGCGGAATGCTGGGAAGCAGCTGTCGTTCTGTGGGAATGTTTCATTGCACCGTTCCCTCCATGATGAGCATGTTTGTCCAGCGAAAGAGTGTGTTGGAATAGTCCGTTGGAGCAGCCTTTATCAATGTGGATTCAACTCAAAAGCTCCCTGTTTGAGGCAATGTTGCTTCCTTAAAGGCCGGTTCATACATCTATATGTGAACATAAAGCTAGTTATAATCATGAAGTGGTTGCGTTTGGTGTCATACTCCAGTATCCTCTATCTTAATATGTCACATTATTATTAGTATTATATTATTACCATTGAAGTTAACTCAAGGTCAAAATGTGTTAGTAGCAGAGATGCAACAAATACTTATTGTGGCATGTCAAATTCCTGGAACCAGCCATTGCAAGGATGAGATCTTACAGACTACACACGATTGATGTTTAGGAAGAAGATTCAAAGAAACCACTATCTAAGTATTGGACAAGGGGTATTTTTTCCCCTGAAACTACATGTGTATGTCAATTTAAGAAACCGGTCTTACTCAGTTTTGTAGATATCCTGTGCATAAGCAGATTGAGGATGGAAGTACACGCACCAGTGTCTTGAGTGTCTGGCTGAAGTGAAGTAAGGTGACCCGCTGGAGGTTCCAACAAAGCAGTCAGATATTACACTGATCCAACTGGCACATACATGTTCATGGAGCACTCTTTGAAGGGTCGAGTGTATGACTCACTCTTGATCATGTCACAGGCAGGATATTGCGTGCTGTACACTGTTGCAATAACAGGATGCTGAATGTGACTATATATGTATGTTCATGTGTTGTTGCTGTTTTAGTCCAATGACATTGGCAAAGTTATCATACATGTAGGAGAATTTTCAAGCCCCCCTCCATTGTGTAGCCTTTTTTACTTTTCTTTAAAAGTTGTTTTCCATGTTCCACAAAATCATTAATACTTGGCAGTCTGCCCTGGAGAGTGACACTGAGTTCTTTGATGTAGGTTCTTTTGAAAACCACATAAACCACGCCCCTCCCAACTACATATAAACCACGCCCCTCCCAACTACATGTTCAATATCAGTATAATTATAAAGGCTGGATGCTGGTAATGATTTGTGTAAGCAGGGGGGCCAGGTTTCATTGTTTATTCATAATTACCCAAGTTGGCTTGGCAATCATACTAAATGCTGAGTTTGGAATGACTGTATACTGACATGGAACACCCACACAGTAATGGTGGAAACATTGTGTGGGATACGTGGCAGGCATTATTCACAGTCAAGGCTGCTATGTGTATTTTATACAGCAACTAGCACTGTGAGTTTGATCTCTCACCCTGATGAGTGCTTGCTCATCAACTATTCATTTTGAATCTGCCATGAGCAAACAAATATTATTTACAATTATTATTAAGAAGTTCTCCAGAACACTGCACTTCAAATGATACCATGCTTGTCATGTATTAATTAGGAAAGTTATAAAGTTGAAAATACAAACAAATAATAATTTATAATAATTTATTGACTTATATTGCGCAAATTCCATAAAAACGTTCACAAGTGCATTACAATTATTTAAAAATAGCTAAATACAAATTTATAATACATGTAATACACCGATTAATACAAACAATTGAAACTCAAAATCTTGACAATAATCACTCACATACATGTACATCAAACCATCACAAAACCAAAATACAAATTATCAGCAAAAGGCTGGTTTTAAAAGGTAAGTCTTTAGTGATGATTTAAAAACATCAAGGCTAGAAGCATTCCTAACTTTGAAAGGGAGTTTATGCCAGCCAGCCAGCCAACCAGCCAAAACACACTGAAATACAGTTTTGATTCTCCATCTCATAAGGTTTCTTCCTTTCTTCTTTCAATGATTTGTTTTTTCTCTCTTACCTTTACCCACATGTTAATTTGTTGACACCTTTGGAATTCACAAACTAATGGAAACAACAGAATTTGAAAATATGTGAAACAACTAGAAGAATCTTCTACAGATTAGTTGTTGTATTGATATTTGATTAGAATTGATCTCAAAGGTAGCAGCTGGGTCTCTTTATTTTGAAGTTTCAAAGCTCAATACCAGTTTGTTCAAATTGATCAACTTCATTTCCATACACACTCTGCTTAAGGCAGGTGTACCAGGGTTGTGTTTAGGAATGACTTGAGTTCATTTTGATTTCGGACAGGCAAATGCAATTTTCAAGACAGGCACAGCACTGGAGACAGAACTTTAACAACACAAGTCACTTCTTACTCGTGTGCACATTATTCCTACCACAGAGTTTGTCAACATTACCGACATGAAATAAACATGAAAGGCAGAGAGCAAAGCTTTCCTGTATCAATGAAACATGGTGATTGTGGGAAAAAAAGGAGAAAAAAGCTGAGGCTGTAAAAACTTTGTAATCTTCACCTTGTATTTGGTTGCAATGCAGCTTGGACTACCACCTATACATGCATAATACATGCAATTGCTGTCTGTTTGCATAATTTCAAAGAAAGTTGCATAATTTCAAAGAAAGTTGTTCATTTACATCACTTATTGACTTGCATTGATAAAATGCTGGCCACGGCATCTGTAACAGCAAGGACGCAGGTGGATTGTTTGGAAGGCTCAGATTCAGATTTCTTACTGGCCATACATTTACACAAATTTGGATTGCGTTTCGCTCATGAAAAGAGCGATGCCTGAAACCCAGGCTTTCCAGAGAAATTGATCTTGTAACATCTTGTGTGTGAAGTTGCTCCTGTTGGCTACATTGCACTGCTGTGTATTTCAAAATCTCGAAGATATTTGGATTTATTTGGGCCAGTGAGAACCGACTGTTCACCTGTTGACCCTACCACAGAAACACAGCTATTGCATGTAAGCACAAGTTGTTTGTACAGATTTTATAAGAATGATTTGATTTTATACTAATATTTGTTGTAATTTATAGGTGAAGTGTAACATCTATGCAAAATCCTGAATGCAATCAAACAGGTTGTGATACAGACATGTTCAGATTGACATGCTAAACAGCTTTATTGCCCCTTTTTCAAAACTACTTGTACATGTATGTAGCATGCAATGCATTTTCATTTCTTTACATGTTCTTTAGGTATATTTATTGCTTTGGCCCAAGGCAGTACTGTTCAACTTATTTTTCGCACCAAATTGAATTTGAAAATAAAAGTTAAACCTACAGTGTTTAAGGTGGAAATACATGCATGTATAACTGTCTAATTAAGAAAAAGATACCAGTGTATTTGGGAAAACATTCAACATGCGTCAAAGTCAAATACCTGTTATATGGGGTCCAGAATAAATTTGCAACAAGAAAGATGGGATTAGTTGTGAGTGGTTTTTGTCTTCAGAATGTAAGTGCACAATCTTTCATTTGATGGAAAAATTGGTATTTGTCTCAAAATAGTTCAAAATTGGCAAATAGTCCCAATTTTCTCTGTAGGTTTAACTGTGCAACTTTTAATGTAATGTAAGTGTCTTGACTTCTGAATTCCCATATTTTTACCAAACTCTGCAGTCACATGCCTTCAAGAAGGGCAGAGAATAGTACTCCATACCACTCCACCCCTAAAGAAAAATCCTTTCAAAAATTTACAGTTTTATATATTTGTTGTTCCTCAGTTTGCATAAACACATGCATGGCCAACAAACCAGTCTAATGTGCATAAGTAGCGGTACACAGCTTTGCTTTGGACATTAACATATTTGTTCAACATTTGCAAGTTGTTGGGGAAAGGAAATGTTTACACTTTATTTGTGACTCGAATTTTTAAACTAACCCTGTCAACCAACCAACCAACTGACTTACATGTACAGTACATTGCTTTAATGAAAAACCTACATGTATAAACACGAAGTCATATAGGGTACAGGCTGATTTTAAAAAACGGTAATTACAGAGCACCGAGGGAAAGCAGTGAAGTATGTATTCTTAAGAAGCCAACAGCTTGTGTGGAAATTCCACAGAAAAGAAATATTGGGTAAAAATACTTTAAACACTTGTTTTTCTAGACATGATGATGCAAGTCATTTTGTCAAGCATTTACATCTAGAGGTACATGTTCACATATGCTGAGGTTGCAACATTATGTATTGATTCATTTCCTTATTTTCTCTGTCCCTGCGTGAGTGGTTGTCTTTGTTGCTTTCAAAGCTTTTTCCCCTCAAATATTCATCTCGGAGATGAAAAACAGGAGTGCCTGCAGCTCTTAGTTTGGGCTTTGAGCTGATGTATGATGCGATCAGCATTGTAGAAACCTGCATGCACCTGTTTGTGAATATGTCTTGATGGGCATGTCATAAACCGTAATGCATAGTTTTTGTAAATAAAAAAACATTTACGTTCATATACCCACAGGTACACCTTTAACATATGTTATTTCACAGCAAGCATTTGCTCTATAAATTCATTTTAAAAATTACACATTTTAATTGGAATTAATCTTGTTGCAACAAGTGTGATATCAAATTAGTTTAGCATTCTCTTCTCATGGAGTAAGGACAAGCTTTTAGGCTGAATTCAGTGTAAGACTTAATACATGCAATACCAGCTCAAACCAGAAAGAAGCTATACACTTGATAATAATAATAATATTTATTTTTGCAATTAAACATAAAACAAGACAATCACAAGATACAGCGGGCCACCCAGGAGAACATAAAAGTTTCAAAATAAACTGTCGCCAAAAGGCGTACATGTATGTCTCCCAAGATCCAAATAGAAAGGTAAAGCAAGAAAGAACGCAACAGAAAATAATCATTATTTATTTGCAGGCCTACATGCATTGTCTTGGTACCCATTGCTTTCCCTGGGCATTTCGTGTTTCCAATTTTTCCTGTGCCTTCATCAGAAGCGGCGATAGACAAGAATCCAATTCCCAGCAGCTGCTATCAGATCCCCCTTTGGGGTGAGTGCAATGCCCCGCACATTCTTACATCCCTTGATGACACACCCAAGGTATCTGCAGTCAGGACTGTACTGGTGGATTTCACCTGTTTCATCCGTAGATATTGCGACAAAGGTTGTGCCGTTGCAGTCGCAACACACACCACAGAGATCATAGTTCTGAGGGGCATGGCTACCAAGTTCTCCAGAGAAGCCATGACCACTGGCAAACTTGTATTTCTCCAGTGTTAATTTCCTATCCTTGGAGTTGCTGTACACAAGGCTTTCTTTGTATGTGGTCAAATAATGACCTATCCCTGGAGTGGAGACCCATCCAAGGAAACATCCATTTTTGGAGTGCACTGATGTGCCAGCCTCCGTCTCATAACCCACTGCTATGACCTCATCTTTATCCACTGCAAGACAAGTTGGGTTCATTGCTGGCCACTTACAAGTACCTGTTTTGAAATTACAGAGAGGCTTATATTCCCTGCTAAAAATATGGACTGTTGAATCAGCCAAAACAATCAGTTGGTCAGCCGTATTCACTGCTACACACTTTGGGTTATGTAGACCATGGATCTCAAGTTCTTTTGAGGTGGCAGGTGATTGAGGAGTTTTTTGGAAATAGCTAATCAAGTTTTTGCACTCAAGGTCCACAATGACCACCTCATAGTTAGAGAACACTGCAACATGAGATGCAGATTTGAACTCAGTCTTGCTGTTTCCAAACTTGTTTATTTTAGTCTTTTCTTGCCATCTCACAATCTCTGGTTTTGTTGGGTCTGCCATCAGAGTCCTAAGCTCGGATCTCTCTTTGGTGTCAGGCATCAGCCTCCCTATCGCAAGTGACTTTAATTTAGACTCTTCAAAATCCATAAAGGACAACTCGGTTGGGGTTCTTTGGGGCTTTTCCATGGTCAGTTCTCTGAGGTTGTGCAGTAGTTTCAGCTTAAAATTCAGTATCTCATGCAGGTGACCGGTGAGTTGTTTTGTTTCATCCAGCGTGCGTTCAGCATGGATTATCTTATCAGTATTGATTTCCTGAACAGTGTCTAGTGTCTTGACTCTCTCTTTATAAATCATCACTGCCTCCTGCTTGAGTTTTTGCTCCTCTTCCCTAATCCTGGCGACTTCCTTGTCAGCCTTGGTGGAAATTTTCCCGGTAGTCCTAGTGAACATCCTGTACAGTGTTTCACGAATACTCTCGACTTCTGTAGATGCTTTGCTCCATTTTGTTTTGTTCTTCATAGCTTTTGTGATCATTTTGGCAATTTCCTGTTGGCTTTTGTCAAAAGCCTCCACATGGCTAATGAGTGAGTGCTGCTCATGATCTTGAATAGAGCAAATTATGCAAGAAAGCTTCTCGCATGTGTTGCAGTAGATGGTGACATTCTGGTCTGGATGCTTGCCACATTTTAGAACCTGCTCTCGGAGTTTACTCCTAAAGGATACCTCTCCAGATCGTAGCTGAACCATCGCGTTCACTTCATGAGCTTTCATCGCAGCCATCCGTGCATGTGCCTTATTGCACTCAAGACAGAAAAAACTGTCACAGTCACTGCATCTAGAGATGGCTTCATTTCCCTCCTCACAGTTCTGACATTTGATCTCTGACCCTTGACCTTCAAGCAGATTCTCTTGCATGGTGAATTCCTCCACTAGGGCTCCTAGTGTGAAGTTATTAGGCAAAGCAGCAACATCATTTCCTTTCAGCTGGGTGTCGCATCTGCAGAGAGGGCATGTTAGCTTGGTGCATTCTGGTTCTTGGTGTTGTCTGAACCCTTGCAGGCATCTCAGGCAGAAACTGTGCATACAGTCCAACACTTTAGGCTCCTTGAAACGACAAGAGCAGATGGAACATACCAAGTGATCCTTGCTGTTTGTGCCCAAGACAGAGTGGACTATGACATTGGATGCCATATCTGCAGAAATACTGTACAAACAACAAAGTCACAGTGAAGCTAAAACTAAAATGTATAGCCGTTATACACCTAGACACAACTAAAATAAATTAATAAGATGTCTTGACATGTTTGCAGTGAAGTTGGCCTAAGATACAATAGTTTTGGCCTGAAACTAAATTTTAGGGGAAAAATCTTACTCAGTTTTGCAGGTATTCTGTGAATTTGCAGTTTGACGAATGCAGTTAAAGTCCTGGTGGATGTAGCAAGTGGATGTAGCAAGTGGATGTAGCAAGTGTATCCAGCAAGTGCAGAAGGTCAACAGTACTGGCTGTTTGAAGTCCAAATGGCACATACATTTGCATGTATGGGAACCTGTGCTCCTCCCTAAAGGATCCAGTGTACGTGTGGGATTTACTCCTGATCCTGCTACTCTCAGGAAATTGCGTGCTGTATACTGATGCAATAACAGGATGTCATGGTATGTCTGTACATCTATGTTACTACTGTTTCAATCTGGCAACATTTCTGGGAGGCTTTCCAAGCCTCTTCAACCTGTCGTCCATATTATTGCTTGTCTTTTTTTAGTTTTCCATGTCCCACAGGTCACAGATTTGCCCCCAAATCATTGATACACATACATGTACTTGGCACTTTTGCCCTGAAGAGTGAAACTGTGTTTTTTTGACGTAAGTTCCTTTGAGAATCCCGTGAACCATCCCCTTCTCAACTGCCACTGTAAGGCTGGATGCCTTGTGATAATCTGTTTAAGCAGTAGTTCAAAGTTTCATAGTCTATTCACAAAATTCCTGGGTCGACATGGCAGTACTAAATGTTGAGTTTGGAATGACTGTATACTGACATGGAACACCCACACAGTAATGGTGGAAACATTGTGTGGGATACGTGGCAGGCATTGTTCACAGTCGAGGCTGCTATTTTGAACACTATTAAACTGCATGTACGTGTGGCACTGTGCTTGAGTTTACAGTGATCTTTCAACTTGTTTTAGTCATGTGAGGGGCATTTATAGTTTTGTCATTGTCAGGTGTTTATTAACCTGATAGAAATGTACCCCTCTATTTATGAGAAGTATGGAATTTTTTTTTAATTGTTTCTCTAAATGCATCTCTTGGGCTAAAGCAAATCAATGTATTTGTGATGTGTTTACATTCATCTTTACATCTCATGAAGAATTTAAAGGATTTAGAGGCACAAGTTTAAAGTGTGTGGATTGTAATGGCTTGGCTCAAACTAATAGGAGCATGGATACAGACCCTAGATCGTGAAGCAGTTATTCTTTGAAGACATGTTTTGTACAGTTTAAATTTAACAGAAGTTGCAGGAAAAAATCTCCCAAGGAAGGGCTCTTTCTGCTTCACAAGGGGCTAGACTATGTTGTGAGTGTGTGTGTGTGTGTGGGGGGGAATGCTGTAGCCCCACTGCTCATAGCTCTTCCAGAGGAATCAAAAAAAGGAACCCACCCCCATCTCCTGACCCCCTAAGTATCTTTGAAATTCAAGTCAAATTTAATTATTTCATTGAATAAAATGTCTTTTTCCTTGGGTATCAAGTGATGAATATGTATAGAGATACTGGTAAGTGTTTGCCCTTAGCCAGTTGGCATTCAATTTCACAGAACACAGTGAGCTACATGCATGAGCGAGATGTCATAGGATACTTTCATAGCTAATCATGACACCCCTTTCAGGACAGACGCATCACAGGCTGCGGTTTCTGTGTTAAATTAGTGTCTGGCATTCTCTTTTTGTATTTTCAGGTACAGTAATTAATATTGTGTAATTAAATACAGGACTTCATATACCCACACCAGTTTGCCTGTGTCATGTTGCTCACATTATTCATTTGTTTTTAGTTAGTGGCATACCGGCATTTAGAGATTTTCATTTGAAGAAGCAAATTACTAGAAGTGTCACAAGCTTTGTCCACAGAGAAATTTTCCGTTAAAAGAAAAGTAAAACACGCAGGAAGAGAAATTTAATCTGACCTTGGCAAGCCCAACTGCTCTGATGAGCACTAATTCTTGGTTGGAATCAAGTCAGAACCTGTGGACATGCCATGTTAAAATTATCATCCCTTGTATTCAGGACTTGAAACGCAAACAGTTGAGTATTCTGAAGAAGTCTTGCCTTTATAGTCTGAACAGCAAATTCTTGGCATCACTTTCCTTGTTCTGAATGAGATACATCTAGGTAGGCATTTATCAGGGCATTGGTTCTTGGGTATGGTGCCACAATCTTGAGCTCATGGCTTTGAAAATCTGCAGTTCAGTCTGGGTACCTTTTTGGCCACAGGCCAAGAAAGGAAGAAAAATGTCCGAAATGTGATACACAGTTCATTTGAATAGCTGGCAGCTTTAACATTATGCCTGGTGACTCTTGTTAGACCTTTGATTGCTTGTGGCGAGGGCCTATAACTGCATGATGGCTAGACATGGCGGCAGACTACAACTGAAGTTTCTTCTGCCACTACCAGGTCACCATTTGGGGCGAGAGTGATACCACGTACACCAGCAAATCCCTTAATGACACGACCAATGTACTGGCCATCGGGACTAAACTGGTGAATTTCATCCGATTCAGAAAACATTTGTATTGCAACATAAATGTTTCCATCTTTGTCACAGCACACATCTGCAGCAGAACTGTCCTCACTATCAGTGGCATGAATATCAGTTGAAAATACCACTCTACCATCGTAGTCAATTGACTTCAACTTGTGCATGTCTCTGTCAGTGTAGATGAGGCACTCCTTGTAGCTTGCCAAATAATCACCGATGCCATGAGCAGTCAATTTCTTGATGACAGTTCCAAACCAATTATGTAGGAATATCTCTTCATCCTCCTCATAACCCACTGCTATCAGATTGTTATCATCCACTGCAAGGCATGATGGGTAGTTTTTGCTGCTCCTACCAGGCTTGAAATGATTGAGGGGAGTGTAATCTCTCTCAAAGGTCTTGATGATTGGGCCAGCCATAACAATGAGTTCATCATCCTTGGTTACTGCTACACGCCTTGGATTATGGAGACCATCAATCTCAATTTCTTCTGAGACTGCAGGTGATTGGGGTGACTTGGGCTCATAACGGATCAAGTTGTCGCACTCCCTGTCCACGATAACCACTTCATTGTCAGAAAATGCTGCTACACATGTTGCCAATTCCAACTCTGTCTTATGTTCTCCAAACTTGTGTATTTCTGTTTTTCTTTGACACTTCTTTGGCACTTGGCTCGATGGCTTTGCAGGTTGAACCGTCAGCTCTCGTTGGGTCATCTTCATTTACATGGATCAGCCTTCCTAATGTCAGCGTTGTTGTGGCACTGGCTTCAAAGTCAATAGAGGGCAGGCCATGGGGTACTTTGTGCGGCGTTCTCTCTGTCAGTTCTTTAAGGTTGTGCAGTAATTTGTGCTTCAGATCCAGTATCTCGTGGCAGCTCGCCTGATCCATGAGTTGTTTCATCTCATCCAGCTTTTGCTCTGTGTGGCTCACTTCTGTGCTGTTGGATGAATGAGCTGCTTCCAGTTGCTTAGCCCTGTCTTTGTAGAGCCTCTCTGCTTCTTGCTTCAATGTCTCCCCCTCCTCTGTCAGTCTTTTCTTCCATTCGTCAACCTTTTGATCTATTTTCTTGTGGACATTGGCAAGCATACTATCCAGTGTGTTTTGCATCTTTTCAACTTCCTGTGTTGCCACCTTCAGAACAATTTGTTTCTGTTCAGCTTTTGAAGTCAGTTCACTAATCTCTCGTTTGCACTTGTCCAAGGCCTCCATTTGTCCAGTGAGAGAGTGCTTTGCATGATCAAGAAGAGAGCAGGTTGTGCATGCCAGTTGCTCGCATGTGTTGCAGTAGATGGTGACATTCTGGTCCGGATGCTTGCCACATTTTGGAACCTGCTCTCTGAGTTTACTCCTGTAAGAGATCTCACCTGATCGTAGCTTCTCCAGTGTGTTCACCACATGATGTTTCATCTTGGCCATTCGTCCATGTGCCTTATTACACTCTAGACACAGGAAACTGTCACAGTCACTGCATCTAGAGATGGCTTCATTTTCTTCCTCACAGTTTTGACATTTGATCTCTGACCCTTGACCTTCAAGCAGATTCTCTTGCATGGTGAATTCCTCCACTAGGGCTCCCAGTGTAAAGTTGGTAGGCAGTGTAGCAACATCATTTCCTTTTAGCTGGGTGTCACGTCTGCAGAGAGGGCATGTTAGCTTGGTACTATCTGGGTCATGGTGGTGTCTGAGCTCTTGGAGGCATTTCAAGCAGAAACTGTGTAAGCAGTCTAGCAGTTTAGGCTCCTTGAAACGACAGGAGCAGATGGAACATTCCAGATGACCCTGGCTAATCTTTCCCAAGACAGATTGGACTGTGACGTTAGATGCCATATCTGTGCAAGTGCAAGCAATAAATTTTTAGTTAGGCTTCAGAGAATATTTTAGAAGGAGGATTTTTCTTTTGCAGAAATTGTGTACAATAAATTTTAACTCTAAGATGTCAAAATTTTTGGTCAGTAGTTGCTGATAATGAAGCTGATAGTACAGTCATTTGCAAAAGTTTAGGACCACCGGTACAAAATGCATTAACCTAAAGAAAAACCAAACTTAAACCAATCAATCATGGCAAGTTATGTTTATTTTAAATGTGTGACCGTGGTATTTTGGTTAAACATGTTTTGACAACACTTCCATGATTTGAAATGTTAACAGTCTAACATTTAGTATACCATCCTTTATTATCTGTTTACATAGACTGGCTTTTTACCCATGCTGCCTTACAGACAAAATGTCATACAAGACCTGCCTTTGCAACAAAATTCATGGAAATGGGCTCCTAGCACGACTGTGATGTTATCACCACTGTAGAGAACATTTTATACAATCATTCAATGAAACAATGTAATGCAGGCCCAGTGAGAGAAATACCCGCAAAATTCCAGGTGGTCTTAAACTTTTGCAAACGACTGTATACATTTTGGAAACTGCCACTTAGAGTATTAAGTCAGTAGAAAAAAGAACAAAAACCTAAACGTATAAATTGCAAATCTGTCAGTGGTATCCTTACCCCCCAAACTGACTTGTGAGATCCTTTTAGGATGTGAGAGGATAACAAGAATTCTTGTAGAACAGCTCGACACGACCGGGGCTGGTTGTCGCTGTACCTGCAATACTCCTGGTGCCACACCTGCTACTCATGTACACGTGTACATGTACCGCCAGCCAAATTTCTATATTTAGATTGGCTCATTGTCATCAGGAGAAGCTACACGCCAACGAAATCTCCATTGACTGGCTATAAAGGTCATGCAGTACCAACGCAGCACACTAGCTTGCACATGCATGTACTCCTGTGCATAATGAACTTGAATACCATTGTTGTGTGGAATTGGGACTCTGATGTTGAGTCTCTTTTTACTCTGCACAAACTCCCAGCCTCATGCACGTATGTGTGCCTTACGTATATAAATAGTGAATCTTTTGAGTGATGTAGTAAAACTAACCACCCATGGTGATCCAGGGAGCGTTCGTTTTAGAATAGAATGCTCCCCGAATCACCAAGGGAGGCCAGTGCTACTTCACCAGGAAATATAGGAGGCAGTATCTGTTGTATAATAGATTCTGCTATTTGAAGGGTCCATGAAGACTGCCATGGACAAACTGTTTCAATGTAATTGAACGAAAAAGTATTCACTAGTATGTCAATCTGGTTCGCAAGTGACTTTGTCATACACGCGCATGCAACACAGATTAAAAGCTTCCACTGGATGAGCACTCACAAGTGTTGCGTTAACCAGTGAGGAGGCAGAGGGGCACCTCCCTCCCCCGATGGATTTTTTTAAACAAAGAATACTTCATAGGAAGAAAGTAATTAGTATACATGTATTTATTTCTCTAACATTGGCACCAAAACCCTGTAAAAACCAACATTTTGAAATAAAAGGATGTCCGGACCGTGAATAAGTGTTGTTGATATTTTTTCTCCCCTAATATCATGTTGAATGACACCAATTTTCTCCCTCCCCGGACACCAAAAGCTGGTTACGTTACTGGCATTAACTTCCTTTTCCATGGTTCCATGTAGCTGTACCGTATGTGCATTGGACGTGGTTTAAACTGAAGTGACGTCACACTTGCGAACTGGATAACCCAATTGGGAATGTAAAAATGAAACCAAAAAATTTCCGGTGATTAAAATTACCGACCCCTCGACTGAATGGTTTAATCCTGACTAATAATGGCATTATTCGTGAGATACTTTTTTGAGAGCCTACAGCTATGGTCAGGCACTCGTTTGGTTTGTCCGGAATGAAGAGGAACATGGGCATTGGATGTGTTCCCGTGGAATATTCTAACATGAAAAAAATACATGTACATGTTCATATTTATGATGCATGCGCACATGGTAAAAACGTGTGCATACACGATATGGCCACTATGTGGGTAATTGCATAAAGTGTTGGTGTCATGGCATACAGGTACAGCTACATAAATGAGGCACCATGATCCGTACACACAACCATGTTTAGGGGAATAGCCTTGGATGATTTGGAAGCATTTCTTACATTCCTGTTTCATGAAAGTTCCTCTTCATCTTTGTTCACGGGCTTTCTTTCATTTTCCAAAGATCATGGGCTCAGGAACGGACTCTTAAATTGAAATTTAACTGACTGTTAAATTTAAAGGTGGTTTGAAGCGCATTGGTTACGATGGCCTGGCTAAAACCAATAGGAGCATGGATACAGATCGTATCTTGTGCCGCAAATATTTGTGAGGACAGTTATTGTAAAGTTTACATTTGACAGACGTTGCAGGGAAAAATCTCCCACCGAAGGGCACTTTCTCCCTCAAAAGGGGCTAAACTATATTGTGAGTGTGGGGGTGTGTGCAGGCGTGGCATACATAGTGTGGACCTCTGCACAAAAGAAATCCACATAATGTAGGGTGTGATGGCGTTGTGTGGACTAGCACGCATCCACACAGTGTTTTGCCCTCTCTATGACTAATGGTTTCAGAGGCATTTTGGAGTCAAGGTTATCATGGCAAAATGAAGAGGAACAGTCCAGGAAATCATCATCAAAAATCCAGCTCAAAGGAGTTGTCCTAACTGGAGAAAAAGGAGCATTTTCCTCAAGTTTCCTTAACCACAGGAGAACAAAGCAATGTTCACACTTTGTATGTAAAACAGGTATGGGTGTGTGTATATGAGTTTGTTTCTGCATTCAATTGGGGACCCTGAACAATAGAGGACGATAAGGTCCCCGATTGACAGAGGGTCCCCGATTGACAACTGTGTACATAACATATGGGTGGTCTTC